TTTTGCAATAATCACCAGCCCGGTAAGCACAAAAAACTCGCGCAAAATCATGAAGCGAAAGAATGATTAACCACTAATTAGAATTTATAATGCGTTTTAAATTTGTATTTTTATAAGGAAAATTGAATATTTTAATCACCATCTTTACGGGTATGTGAAGATTACGCTGCAAAATTACGACACACCTTTAACAATTTAAGAAAATAGTTAGGTAATTTTTTTAAAGATCTATCATTCCAAGAATGGAAATATAAAGTAGTTCACTGAAATTAGGTACTCAAAGTATACCAAGGATTTGGCATAATTATGGAAGAAGCAGGCCACTTTTCTAATGTAAATACATATCGTCAATTTCAATACAACCCTACCTATGAGTTCAGTAGGTTATAACACATTAATTATTAACTTGTTTTGTTTCAATTCGAACGAACGACAAGTGTGCCTCGCCATGTAGAAACTGCAATTCAATAATCCACGAAGCAGCTTTTAATTATACGAAAGCCGTGAACATGTTGAAAACCTTATGGCTTCACTGACAAGTGCGAGAAAAATTCGAAAAACTCAGAAGCCGTGCAAAAATAATCAACTCGTCTTGCCTATAACCGCAAGGCATACACAAACGCAAATTAAACCGGTGCTTGCTGCAACAAATCTCTTCATTTGCCTCAGCCAGACGGTACAAATCACGAAAACGCCGCGAAGAAGTGAGGAAAATCGTTGACACGTTTACATAAATTAACCATAAAACACTATATGCGCAAGGAACTGAACGCAGATGCGCCGAGAAAACCGTGGCAGGCAGATAAAAGTGCAAATTGAAGTAATTAAATCGAGAAGTAGCACACATTTGAACCGATTCGACGCGTCGACACCTTCATTAATCGCGAACAACGAAGTGCTCCAGAGGCACTTAAGAGGCATTTCATGATGTGAAGAAACGATTAAAATAGTTATGATTTTCCTTCAATTACTTTTTGCACATTAAAAAGTTTTGCAAGAGAAATGAATGAATACTTTGTTATTTAAATTACTTTGCAAAACATGTTTCGCACAATAAGATTGCAATTTTTTATGTAAAATATATTCGTTACAAAACCACCGAACGAGGAAATTAAATAACGTTGCAGGTAAGTAGCAAGCTTAATTATTAATTTCGTAATTAGAACTTGAATTAAATAATAAACCAATATTAATTACGATAATCATACCGCGCAATTATTCGCCGCTACTGCAATTTACGTCAAAGATATTGTAAAGTTCTGCTTTCATTATTTTAAAGGTATTAATTAACTGACTTACTTAATAAATTTGTAAAAATTTCACAAATTTTGTGTTACCTTTAGATTTTTTACTGGGCAATTTGATAGACGTCCAGATATAAGTCTTGTTTTTGGTGCGATCAGTCTCCTTGGCGAATAAATCCAACTCCGATGTGGAAAACTTGTGTTTTTTGCCTTTGACACCCATTATTATAAAGTTTTTGCGAGGAATTACACCGATTGTAAGAATGAAGCGTTTGTTTATTTCAGAAAGCACTATAATGTCCGCACGAAAAACTGTCTCCGACGCCACGCGGAACCGAAATCCAATTGGATCTCCCTGTCAATGCACGTAACATATGTACGACTTTCTTTCCCGACTGCTTCCGCACCAAGAGAGGAACCGCGCGCAATTGACTGCAATGCCGGCGTCGCAATGAAACTTTGGTGCGCAAACCAAGGCAACCACCGCTAACAACTAACTAGACACGCTGGTTAGCGTAGTAAGTAGTATGGGACGAGACGCCGCGATGCGTTGCGCGACTTTCTACAAAAGACTCCCACTTTTCGATCCGAATCCACGAGAGCGCATGTATATCATGAATCGTTCGCGATCCAAATGAAACTAACTATGAAAACGCATTTATTCCCATTAGCGCGCAAACATACTGTTTGCGTTTGTTATAACTACGTCCATTTCTTTTTCTTTAATTGCTGCGTTCGTTAGTTTGGCTGCAGACGCCGGCGACTATCTAATCAATTTCGTTTGTGTGTTCTTTGGCTTATCGTGTCGCTGTAAACAAGCTGTATTTCACCGGCGATGTTCGCTCGAGTTGCCAAATAGGACGCTCCCATAGAGCTAATATCGCCAATCGTGCACGATGCGACCGACAAACTCAATCACGAAATATCACAATAATCAACGACTTGGATTGATTCAATCGCAATGATACGGCATTAATCAGATAGAACACACAATTTGAAAGATAAATTTTCAAATTCTCCATGAATTGTTACTATTGACTAAAACAAACCAAGTAACGAACTAAGTTTCTAATCGATTTTCTTAATATAAACATTTTTAAGGTGCAATAATTCTACTATATTTTTTAAAGAAAAATTACTGAAGAAGTAATGAGTAAAAGCGACATAACGATAACAACTAAAAAGACCAATAAACATAGTTCTTGTTCCCAAATGTACTACCAGCTTAGCATATTAGCATTTCCTACATATATTAAATTCGAATAAAACCAAAAACCAATCATTTTAACGAAGTCCGAATGTCGAACACCACAATAAACCAAAGCAAAGCTTGCGCCAACAAAAATGCACAAACAACACCCGCTCGATATTTGTCGAGAAGCGGTTGCATGTAGCTGCTATAAAGTACACGACGTATGTGGGATGGTAATGTGAAAGTGAACTGCATTTCATTTATATTTATAGAAATTGTAATATTAGTAAATGTGCATTTAAATAAAATGTGTCCTCTAGTCACACGGTGTCAACATTGAAAAGGTAAAATCAATATTTAAATGGAGGAATTATTAAATTATTATACTCGTATATGCAAAGCAACAGAACATATCAAAAGTAACTTAAAAAGAAAACCAATGTTTTGATTAAAATGATTGCCCATCATGTGACTGCGAATGAGTAATAATTAGTCATAATTTAATTATATTTATGGAAATCAGTTAATTCTACTAGATTTGAGTAGAAATAAAAGTTTCTACACAGGTTATGTAGCATAATTTCGATTTGAATAAGCTTACCACAAATACTATAAAGAAAAACGGCTCATATCTGGTAATTAACCGCTAATATATTTTAATTTATTACAATAAGAGTAACGCGTGCGTCAAGCGAAGAGGAAAAAGACCATTAAATAAAAACCTTTCTTTTCCTAAACGCTCAGCTTTTACGCGCGCGCCCATCTAATTAACGCAAAGCGTTATAATCAGTTAATTTCTTCATCAATTCAATTATATAACGCCCGAGAATAATTAACAGTCTAGCTCTGATGGTAATTTAGCAATTTTAACGTTGAACAATCAATTTGTAGTCATTTTAGAATCACAGCACGCCGCTTCCTTTCACGTCGGATTGTTGCTTTCATCACAAATCCAACATTTCTACAAATTTAATTGTGAAGAATTCAAGAATTAAAGAAATGAATTGTTAATTCGATGTGGAATAATTCACATACTTTTAATTTCTCTAATTCTCGCAACAAATGCAACTATTCTAATAAATTAGAACATAATTAGTACCTAATATAAAGAAATTAATAAAACTGAATTAAATGGAATAGATTCGATTTCGTGAGTTCATATATTTGTACACATTCATCGCATTGTCCGCGAAGTTGTTAAAAGCATTTCCGTGCTGGTGATTTAGTTTCGTGTGAATCTGTGAATTGTCTGAATGAATGTGTGAAACGCTCGCTCGGGTCCCGATACCCACGAAAAGAGCATTTCACTTTCTTTTCTCTCACTTATGTTCGGCATTACACAAAAATGTATAGGTGTATCGAATACATTCGGCCGGCAAACCGAATATGCATAACAGTCGCGTTCGCAGACAGATTGTTGCTAAAGGTCAACGACATGATGTTGCGTTATTACTTTTTTGTGCGCCGCTTTTTTTTTGTTGATTTTTATTATATGATAGCGAAAATTGCTATATCGTGACCACTAAAACATACAATGTGAGCCTTTGTAAAATAAAGTTTGTTGGTTAATGGAAGAAACAGTCCATTTTCGCAACCGAGATAGGAATTGAGAGAAAATATAATTTCATGATTGTAAGCGGTACAATACTCTCGAAAAGTTCCTTTTGCGTGCGTCTACTGGTTCGAAAACAATTTTCCTAAACTAGTTTACCATAAATTCGCTAATTTCGCACAGAAACGGATAATTGGCAATAAAACCCATACCTATTTTGCGCTCTATATACGCAGTAATCAATGTGCAAAGACGTAACATGTTAACCATTTACATTTACTGCAGTCACATTGGTAAATTTCTCCTCAAAACTTCGAAATTTCATCAAAACTAAGTCAACACAGAGGGGAATATTAATTGCCTACTAAAATAATACGCGCTTCAGTTGAATTCGTGTGGAAAGAATCGAATTTAAAAAATTAGGCATGGGAATATTAAGAGTTATTGGGCATGAGAAAGAATTAAAAAAAAACGAAATTAAGGTCCGAAAGCAGCGAAAAGGTCAAAGTGAAACTGTTGACTGGTTTTGTAGTCCAGCCGCAAATGCAACATGTTGCTGGCTAATTATGCCTTAGATCCAATTAATTATCATCGACAAAGGCTCTTTCTTGTCCATATTTGTAGGTTTAAACAGGCGCACGCGCACGCTTCGCATGTGTAGTGTATTTGTGTGACGCAGGTCCGAAGAAAGTCTTTTCGGTTCTACTAGCTCAATTACCAGGCTCAAATTACACGGATAAATTAAATTGCTCGCAAGTACGATAAGTATAAAAAACTAAAGTTTCGAACAAATATTTCAACACTTAAATTTAATGCGTTATGTGTTCGCCACAAAAAGATAGATTGCAAAAATGCATGTGGGTCCTGTCTGAAATCGAATTTCGCGATAAATTTTCTGCTTCATTAACTCTCGATGAAAGAAAAAGCAATCTGTACATAATTGCTTCTTTCTACTGTCCAGATAGCCACACCAAAGAGATTGTATAATTAAACAATGGATTGAAAAACTCACCTTTAATAATCTCCTTTTTCTTCTCCTTGGCTTCTTTGTTGGAGAGTAGATTCTTGGAGTTATTGCGGGCTGAAAACAAAGAATAAAGGTTTTATTTGTTGATAGGCTATCAGAAATTACAAGATATTAAGTATAATATAGTATGCAAATATTGAATATTTAATTACCGAAGTAATTTGAATGATATCTTTCATTTCCAGTGCTCGTTAGCATTGATTAATTCGAATTCATTGAGAAGCGTGCGATATTCGATATTGCCTGCAGGTACCACCAGCGTAGTAATTATCGAAACCCGTAATCAACTCGAGCGTTTAAACAGTTCACCGTTCACATGCAATCAATGAATGTTTAATGGACGTCCTGCATATCCACGAACGCGTATGGAGAAAGCCTTTCGCATGGTGAAATGAAAGAATTGTGGCTGCTTGTTGAAATCAGCGAAGCAACGAATTACAATGCAGTCGTTCAAAATGCATGATGAGGAAAGAAATTTTATGGGGACACCAATAAAATTCATTTATAGGTGTAGTAGATATTGAATATTATTGACGCAAATAGAATTTCTAATAAACAATTGGTTTATTGTAAAGTATAAAACGAAATATGATTTTCAGAAAACCGAAATAATAAAATGTTTAAATGAATTTGGGCAGAAACGATAGTCTCAGACGATTGTTCCACAGGAGCCTTGTTTTTACCAACCTGGTATAAACAATAAAATACAAAAGTTTTGCTTTATGTTAGGCAACCAACATATCACTAAGCCATGTAAACCGCATGTTATGCACGCGCTATCGTCAATCGTCGATTGCATGAAGATTGCACTGCGTTTGAAATAAAGATTAAAGACTCATTTTCATAAAACCGTTTGAATTAGAGAATTGACTCAAATTGATTTTTAAACCTTTTAAATGTTGTTTATAAAATGATGAACGATTTATTCGAATAGATGAACGAATATTTATAGTGGCGTATTTAACAAACGCGATGAAAATAGTTTCGCCACATCGGAAAACGAAAAGGAGTTAATCGTCGGCGACCCAGTTTTCAAATTTGGCATACACAAATATAAAATAAAGACGTAAAATCTAACTTTCCTATGCCACAACGCAACGACTACGTTCGGCAACATCGTCGTTATTTTTAGTCTCTTCCAGAAGCTGCTGCAACAACTCAGTGCAAAGACAGAAGGCACTCGCGCAAATACAAATACTAGACCGAGGAGCACATAAAGTGGTAGAAAGCCAGTCAAAAGCTGCAAAACGCAGTGTAAACAAAAGTCTGTGTAAGTAACTGCGATGATTCGCACGGTTAGCTTGCAGACATAAGATGCGCATCTCAAGAACTAAAAGTTTGCCTGTGCAAACAGTACACGCAGACCCGATTTAAAACCACGCGTATAATAATCCGTTCAAAATGTTTGCATCCGCATCGATTCTATGCATCCTGTATTGAAGACGTGTTTACGCTTGCGGGTCCGGCAAGTGCCAGTAATAATAACTAAATTTAATTTCATGAGAAACATGAAAATTAACGCATTTGTTCCACATCTAGCTGTAGTATGAAAACACTGTGCGAACATACCGCTGCCGCATATTGCCGCAAGTTACAGCAAACACACTTGTTTCGACTATTTGCACTCGGTGGCAATATGTGAGAGCAACAAAGAGTAACTCTCCGTTTAAACATAGAATATGTGCAATGTTTACCTTTCCGAGTGAAGAGTTTTCTGTTATGAATATGCGCATGAAGTGGAGAGACATAAAAGAAAAGCGAAACCAGTCTGTTGTCTGTTAATGCGTGCAAATTTAGGACCAGCGTTAAAATTTAAGTGCCTAATAAATGCTCATGTTGACATGAAGTGCGCTCAATTTTCATAAATAAATAATTTTTTCCCATTAAATTGCTAACATCAAAAGGTTGTCCCTTAAATTTTACACTGGTTTTATCATCATTTAATTTGTAATGCTCCAAATAGAGATTTATGAACTCAAAGACTAATTAACAAAAACCCGCTCGTTACTCCGCAGCCCAAAATGGTAATATATCAAAGCAGATGATTTACACAATGAAACCGTCAGACAAACAGGTTCACACGCCGTTGAGACACTCCGACGCTCTGATATTCCGAATCGTGACTTATATGTGTTCCTTGAGTAAGGTTTGGTTGCATTAAATCCGTAAAGGTTCCAATTTTTTTGTTGCTGTAACTTTTACTCGCGTTTGAAATTTTATGCTGATGCTTTTCATATCAGGGCCGCAGGGGAGTCGGAAAGCTTTCACATCACGTTTCAACTTTATTTGGCTAGTGGGTATATAGGTGAGAGAACGCGTGATTTAAACTTAACATAACATAAACACAGATACTCCCAACGCGCGCTTCTTGGAGCCCACCTGCGCATCGTGTCAAGTGGACGAGAGAGACCTGTTACTTCATAACGGCCCCCAAACACAGCACATCAACCTTTCGTGTTTATGCAAGTTGTCAAAGTCCTACATTCGTCCAAAAGCCGCTCAAAAGAATCAGAATTAAATATTCATTAATCTTCTTTAGCATATTTTGCGGCAGCAGCCGGCAAAAAGGAAAAACTTTGCAGTTGCTTTCCTAAGCTGCAACTTTTTTATTATTAATGAAAGCCTGTGCTTGTTATAAAAAATGTGAAATGGGTTTTATGCATCTCAATGTGTTTACCTGTCGCATTAAGAATGCGAAATCGATAAATTATGTAAACGCGGAATGTAAATAAGAGACTGGCCGGCGCACAAACCGGCTCTTCGGAGATACGGGGCGGCATAGATTGCAAACAAAACGACTATATCAATGGATGAATGCAATTTTATACCTCGTACATAATCCAAGTTGAAATGCAAGGAAGTATTTAGGCGACGCGTTTGAATTGCCGCTTTGAAAGATTTAGACAATGCAATAAATCTAAGTTGTCGACTTCATTAATTGAAACAAAGCGTATTCAATCGAGTAAAGTGAATCGTTTCCACTTTAAAGTGCACTTAATTAAGAAAAGTTACATGCTTCATTAATTAACGGCGTAAGTTGTAATCAGTGCATAGTGTTCACATTGAACACTTACTAAACTGAGAATCTACAAAAACAATTTTATTTGCTTGCCTACCTTCATTTGGCCCGATTTTCGGTTGTACTTTCGTTCCATTTAAAACTTGATTTACTTTGAGCACCTCACGCTTTTTGGCAGAACCTGAAAATAATAACAACAACCGTTAAATATAGCTTATTTAAACCTGATGAATGGGGAATTTAAAATCAGAGTCGAACCTTTTTTGCCGAAACTACCGAAACGCTCCTTTCGATCGGGCAAACGCTCCGACACCGACCGCACAAAGTTCACATCTTTATCCTTGGAAGGATGCTGACCCATGCTGAATAGCTCAACGTGGCCAGTGCAAAACGGTTTACATTCTCGCAATTACGCCCGCATCCATTCGCCAGATGGAATCGACAAACAATCACTGTATCGCTCTTTGAAAACGATTAATTTATCGTTTGTCACATTGTCGTGTTTTTTGAACCTCGTACAGTCTTTAACAACGTCACCGAGATCTTTGTCCTGTAAATGAACGTTGCTTTTTGTAGGGATAAATAAACTTGCGCGTGTTGCGATTGTTGGATTCCTTCATTCTTTCTTGCGAGAGTATACAGTGAGTGTATATATATCACTTCGAGAACGCGGACGTGCCTATCAATACGAATCGCATCTTAGAACTCAAGAACATTCTGAACAGGATGTTAAAAGGTTTCCGTTTCAGTGCGAACAAATTGTTCAAGTTGCATTTTGAGAAATGCAATTCAACCAAGCGACATTTCTCCCTTCTGTTAATTAATATCGCGCAGAAAGAAAGAAATAAAATGCCTGCAAGCGTGCAGTGAAACGCAGTGAAAGAGCAGCTTGTAAACGAGCACTTAAAGCTTTTATATAAATGGGAAAGTATCTCTGATTAAGAAAACACACGCGTACCGCTGGAACGTAAGACAGAAATAACAAAAAAAAATCCAGAGAATAGAAAAACCGACTAACCGAAGACCGACTAACTGAATTTCAAGTGTTTATGTCTAGTACAAAAATAACCCGGAGATGATGACACGCGCAAGTCATCGTCGTGTGATCATCAAAAGCTACCCGAAAAGAATTTCGAGGAAATCACTTTTACGGAAGATACGGAAAGAAAACTAAAATAAGCTGGTCGATTCATCACATGCCCTGCACGCACAAAGCGAACGATTATTTTGATAATTTGTCATCGCGCAACAAGATATACAAATGATAGTAATTTATTGATGTGCATATTCAATGCTTCCTTCTATTTTGTCAATAAAATAAAATTGATAGAAACCAAATAACTACCTATGCAAATTGAAATATCCACACCTATTAGTTAATGAGCGGCGGGTAGAAAATCTGCACGATTATAAGTGTGACTATTACGTTCTCTCGCTGTCTCAAAGACGCTTAAGATTCTTTGAAGATGGTGAAGCAAAGACGTGGCTTAAACTGTTACATTATAATACGTACACTTCTCGTCTTCTGCATCTTCTTGGTCGTGAGAGCAACGTGAGAACCCGAAGCAAATTTAATGCCGCATTTGCACACAATCCTTCACAAGATGCAACAACAAATGCAAGCCTTAAGACACGAATTGCAACACGAAATCCGGTCACATCGAGCACCAGCACCGACGAGTAATGCAGTTATCACGAAGCAAAACAACAATTCCAGCTCGCAAACGTGTTAAATAAATAAAACGCCTCTAATGATGCTGGTATAAATTCACGTTTGCCAACCAGGCGAGAGAAATGCAAAAGCACACGAGAAATTGTGCTAAAATAATTGTCAGCACTATTTAAGGATGTGCGATAATTAAAAGCGACGATAACAGACGAGTTTTGTGAAAAAGTACACGATAAACATGTCAAGATTATAATTATGATTATTTGCGTTATACATTTATCAAAGCGAAGAAAATACAGTTTAATGTAATGCAAATGAAATGCATTGGGTCGAAGAATTTGTTTGCAATCGCAGCGAACTGTAAAAAGGAAGCCTCGTATCAATTAATTAAATTAAATTTAATGACTTGTCAATACATTAATGGATTGAAATATCTTGTAACGTGAGGCGAAATAAAATTAAACTCATGGCGTATAAATACAAATTAAAGTTTGCATTAAAATTGAAATTACAAATCAAACATTTTAATACCCATTTGAAATTCCTTTAACTGTAAGCCAGTTGCCGTTTTTCAACAGACGACCACCTTTATTCCATTAGTGAAACGTAAGTAAAATTAATGAATTACAATGTTAATGTGGTCGTAGTAGAGTACAGCATGTGTGTGTAGGATTATAACATATGTGTATTTTACAACATAAGCATTTATGGTACAAGGACAAGAAGTAATCAAACTATAGGTGTTTTACACACACACAAATACATGGAGAGAATCTCAAGGCGCGCACCGGCATCCGGACAGCATCGACCTACGCCAAGAGTATGCCAAGAGTCGGCGATTCTCTGAAGCACACGCCGCGCATGTTCACGGTGCCGGAGGGCGCGCGAGACAGAAGAATTGACCGAACACACACCTGAACTCGACGCCGCGATCGCGGTACCCAAGCATTGGTATACAAGAAACGCAGCACAGCGCGACATGAGTTGACCTCCGCTCTGCGCGTCTTGTGGTGTTTGTTCCTTCGATTGAAAGTCGGACGTATTTTACTCGGACCCGACCGGTGGATGCGTCGGCAGAGAAGTCTATATTCGCGCATTAGCTTGCTCGAGTAGCACGGTTTCGGTTACAAGAAGTAGGAATACTATACATGCACAACTTTACAAATCGCGACTTTTATGGCAAACAAGGAAACGAAACATGAATTTTCATACGAATATATTCGACTATTATGTGCTGTAATAAGTAGCTTTATATATTTGGTGCGTGCGTGCCAACCTACTCAAGCAGGATTTATTTAAAGTGGCATTTAATGCACTTGCAAATTAGCACAAATTGTTCAACTCGACATTGAATTTATAATCAGAAGGTTGCTTTTTTCGAAAGGGGAGATTGAAACGTCGCAATAAATTCATTAAAATCAATACATTCAATTATATAAATGAATTCGATACGCTCCGCCACCATACGAAATCGAATCCATGATAAATCACCTACGCAAGCACCACTTCCTATTGTTTCATACCCAAGTTGCTTTTCGTTGTATAAAAACAACTGGGTAATGTCCGCAGTGGCTAAATAACAATGCTTAACGATGTTTATAGTTTTTGCGCAGCGAATCCAATCCTACACAATTGCACTCACTCCATGTGCGCTTGAAAGACGTGCAAAATTATTTTAAATGTTCCCGAACAATAACTAGCGAGATGAGAGCAAATAGAACGTTCATTCGCGGCTGGATAACTTCCATTCTCGAGGCAGGTTATATAAATCAGACTATTAAATTCAATATTGCACGTCGCACGTTCTTGCATACGAGAAGGGAGCTGGAGATAGAGCTGCGTTTGCGGGTTCAAACATTACTGTACCTCATTCGTTGCTCATTGTTGTGCTCAGTTTGGCAAACCACAGAGCAATAAGTCAAGTTGTAAATCAACGTATTAACGACATGCGGTGTAGTAAATTCGCGTTCTGATTGCCGACGATTCCTAGAGCTTGTTTTCGCTGCTCCAGTCTCTTCATAGGTGCGCGTGCGATTTTACAAAGCTTCAATTTTTTCGCGTTGAATTCTTAGAAAGGCATACACGGCGTTTTCATGAGAAAAATTGCATGTACCGCACTGCAAATATTTTCCCAGGATAAAAATCTCGTGTGTAAGTATCTTCCATCTACATTCACCAGCAGTGGAGAGAAACAGGAACGCTTGTAGCAATTTTAATCATGAATTCAGATTAACAGCGATTTCGTCGCGCGGCCACGTTGAAAAAGCATGTAGGCTTTAAACGGGTCGAAATAAATTACAATAACGCTCATAGCGCATTCGGTGAGTATCGCGGCGAACGCCTAATAAGACAAACTTATACTCGACGATGTCCTCTCCAGTGCAAGTACGCGCAGCGGATCTTAACGCAAGCATAAGGACTAAATGAGTCCAGCACTAGTTTCTGCTATTTTTCATCTAGCATCTCACATCGTTCCAACTGATCGTTAATACACTCCGCACGTACTTTCAGTGGGAACATCAAGCAGCAAGCAGTAGATATAAATTATTATAGCAACACGATAAATGCGTATATTTCAAAGGAGTGTCATTAATCAGTTTTGGGCGAATGAGACAATTATTAATTACAAAGCGCCGAACTAAAATGAGTGCCTAAAAACAAAGCCTCACGGTTAAACCGTGGACATCTTTAAATACGCTGAGAAATTTGCAAAAACTTCGCGTAAATACTATTTTCCTACGCTGCGTGTGCGCATTTTGTACAACTATGAAGATTCCTCATTCGATAATTTATGAGAAGACAAGAATCACACAATCATAAAACAATATACCTAAAACATGTGAAGCCAACGCGGACTCAACTCTTCTTGTTGAACAAGAAACGCGTTTTTGAACGTAGACACGAATAAATTATTCACGAGGTATCATCGAAAACGTTTTGTACGTGTGGACTCGCTTCTGGACGTCGTCGCGTTTGGATACAACGTATCGGTGTGATTGTTTCCGGTGAGCGATAAGTACACACACCAATAGTCCTAGCATCCTTGTTTTTATTCAACCAACGGTATCGCTGTTGTGTTAGTCGAACGTTGTAGATTCTCATAGAATTTAAATTTCTGTTTTCTTAAAATTAATTTATTTTCATTGCGTAATAATATTTGATATATAATGTAAATGAAGGTGTGTAAATAGAGGTAATATATTCATAATTGTTTAAATTCAAAACCAACATTTGCTTGGAATATTAAATGAATTTCGTTGCGAAACAATTTACGCACAGGCAACATTTTTGGTAATTAATTGTGTGTGAAATTGCTACAACTTTTGTTTTCCTTTGTCAATCAATTAAACATAACCGCATTAAATATTCTATTAGCTATCTTATTAATAACTGTTTAGAAAAATTAAAACAATGCTAAACATTTATATTTAAAAAGAATGAAAAACAATATAATTTGCTAAAATTTATGAGTTGCAATAAATCAAACGGTAACTTATATCGAATTCCCTATCGGTCTGCATAGTTCAAACGCTTTCATTGTCGTAATTTAAAATACAACCTATTTTATTTACCATGTCGGTTAGCATGTTATAGTGAAGTATACATGCAATCGCATGCAAGACGCAGTTAAAATTCCTGCTTCCAAATTTGGCGCAACTGCAAGCGGTAATACGTATTAAACTGCAAGAACATTCTAATGGTAGTTCATATAGGTGTGCATAAGCACCACTTAATACCGCGACCTTAAATTTACTGACAACATAATTTAATTTATATTCAATTGTTTATTTTCGTAATTATCTGTTTTTAACGCTTCACAAATGCAATAGGTGAATGTATTTGTGTTGTTATTCGGAGGTTGTCTATTTATAATCATTCTTTAAACTAGTGTGATAACCGTGAGTGATAAATATTCATGTAAAAAAAATATAATAATACAGCATAAACTTGAATTTATTTCGTGTTTAAAAACAAATATTGTCGGTATACGTGTTGGTATAAAATATGTTAACAATCAAAAACGTGTTCTACTGTTTCACATTTCCATTTGTTCGATGTTCTACCACGTACCGTGCATAACTACATATCCCCCGTAGCCTCATCCGCAATTGTTTACGCTATGACGCAATTTTTATTAATTAATTAAATTAACACACGACCCATTCGCTTCGCTTCATCCGCATGTTTTAACTTTTAACTTTCCATGCGTTAATTTAATTAGAAGGATTCGCTTTTAGTAAAATAACTACCTGAAACAATATTGTTTGAATATAGAAATATCCTTGGCATCTTAAAAACATTCTATAAACGTAAACTTTTATCACCGCAAATTTATGCAAAAATTAATTGAAAGTCAAAACAGGTTATTAACGTTCAAGCTCATCCACTTGTTTACTCTGTTGGTTATCGACATCAGTGTCGTTTTTATAAACCCGGACGACCTGTCGATATCTCCGGACCAAATCGCGATTCAATTCCATTAAAATAAATGATGAACACAGCAATGCTATTTCGAGCGGACAAAAATATTCACTGAACTTTGGATGGAGCAGCATGTAAGTTAAAATGTTCGAATGTCCCAACGTATTCATAAATATCCAGCGGGACGCATTTCATTTCAATTCGCGAATGCGATATCGTCGTTAAAATTCAGCACCGCGACGAGCGGACGTCATGAGTCATTTCTATTTCGCCCGGCGCGGCGTATCGTTAGCGCGCGTCTCCTAGCAACCCCTACATGAATATCGTCCGTCCACTGTGTCCTGCGCAACCCTTCCAAGGACACCGCAAAACCCGTCGCCGCATGTAATACAGACGCAATGCAAACTTTTGTAGCCAAACACATAAATCAACTTGAATTATATTATTATGTGTTTGCACAAGACTGTGTGAAATAATAAAACAAATCCAACAAATCCCAAAAGAAAGAATCGTAACAATCGCAACAACCGCACATCACATCAACGAACAGAAAGAAATCGATTTTAAATTTACCCACGATGCTATTATTGGCACTCTAAGGTTACCGGCCGTTTTCTTCAGCGACCGAACGACTTGCGTAGAGAGCAAGTAATCATCTTGAATCTCTCGTGAATTGTAGTAAAAGTTGATAATATAAAATCACAATTTTTATTAATGGATTAAATATAAAGATGACACTTTTATGGTGGAATTTTAGGAAGCACTATTTAAGTCTATTAAGTTGAAGACACTTGTGTTTTGGTTTTGGCAGAGGATGTTACTGACTCCTTTAATCAGTAGAACTTATTCTACTCTTGCCAAAAAAACTGCTAGGCGATGACCGCAGTCAATACACGCATGCTGCGCGCCGCGAACTCGAGGAGCAGCAGGCAAGCACACCGCCGCTACAAACTAAACTGACGTAACAGAACGCAGCACGCGGATGAGGGACAGCACGCGAGCAAGGCGACCGAGGCAGGCTCGCTCGTTAGTCGTTACCGCTGCCTGCTCACCTTCCTGCACAGCCATCAGGCCACACCACACGCACGCTATACTCCTGCTGCAGATCGGAAGGTATTCCAATGCTGAAGACACCACTAACATTGCCAAAAATCAAGTTTCGCTCAAACTCGATCAACTTGAATTGTCAATCAAGCAAAATTATACATTTTTATAAAGAAAGATAATTTATGTTGGGTCATTAAAATCATTCTCCAAAATAAACAAAATCTTGATACAAAAATGACCTCGCTTCCATAAAACTTATCTTTGCTGCGATTCTATTTTTTGCGTCTAAAGATTACGCGATTACAAAGTTTCTTGCGAAAATCCTAAACGTCGTTGACGCTCGCCCAGACTGCGTCTGTTGCGTCCATTAGGTCCAGCCTGTGGCTGGAGTGTTGGCGTGGTGAATTTAAATTTAGATTGATGCTGGCCAATAACGCACGAAAATGCACACTGTGCAGTCAGCACGTACTAAAATCCAGCGCACTGCATCACGCGCGCTGCGACGCAACATTTTAAATTTGTTGACGATTACTTCATCCTCACGTCTAATGTCGCGTCCGTGTCATTCACAAACGAATCAAAACAAACACACCCAATGTGTGTATGCGGTGCTATTCCGAAAGGAGCGTTTCTTTGCGTTACAAAATCGTAAATTAAATTTTTCGTGACCCCAATTTACGCTGTCGTTTTGTTACATGTTGTAATTGGACCGTTGAAGAGCCAAGATTTAAGTATCGAAACTTATTTTTAACATGATGACTTCGATTGAGAAGTGCGCTGGTGTCTTCTTATTTATTTATAGAATTAATTGAATGCACTCACCTGGTGTTTTCGTCGTTCGTGATGCGCCACTTAAATCACTCAAGGAGCTGCTTATGCTGCCGGTCTGCTTTGGGGATGTTATTACTCGACTGCGAATACGACGGCTAAAATAAAGAAAAATGTACGATGTAACATTTAAATTTGATTCGTTAGCTCTAGCAAAAGTGTTGTGTGAAAGTGTGCTCTCAAGGTAGGCAACTGCACTACCATCTAACTGTATAGAATTTAAAAGTTGTAATGATTTACTATAGGCAACTATGCTTACTTGTTAAGACTAGGTTTCTGCAGCTCCGTTTTCTTCTCATTGTTGCGCGGTAAATTCGTATTCAAACTGGTGAATACCTTGGGTTTGACTTCCTTGAAGCCTTTCCGGGTATCCGGTGCGCTAATTTTATTCATAACCGCATCCCACCGACCAGGTCCTGCCTTTTTCGGCGTCGTGCGCTTCTCATTCTCTTTGTTGCTAGGCTCCATTAAAGTTTTCACCTTTGAGGCAACATTTCGTTTGGGCATTTTATGTTTACTCTCATCCAAGCGCGCAGAACGCGCCGATCGTATACTATTAGGCGTCGAAGTTATCGTGGATGCATTTGACACTACTTCAAGATCTGGTTGTGGTGTCACTGTTGTCTTATTCAGTGGGGGTGTAAGAGTTTTGTCCATTATGATATTAACGTGCGTCTGACTGTCATCTGATATCGTTTGCGTCGACGAATCTGACGGCGATAGTTCGACCTGCATTTGATTCACCTCATTCGCCTCGTTAACGTCATTATCAGCACTCGAAATATCCTCAGTGCGCTCGATGTCAGTGAATATGCCACTCGAGTCCATATTCTCTCTATTATTCGCATACAGATCGGCGGTGGCTTGTGCGTCGACGCCGTATAAAGTACCATCTATTACTTGCGCCTTGCGATCACCGCGCAGCGGATTATCGTCGTGATTGTCGGCGTCGGACTCTGTGTAGAAGTCTGAGTCTGTCATCGGATCTGCCCGTCGTGGTGGTTGTCGAGGCTGGGGCCGTCGTGTTAATGGCGAATTGTCAGCTCCGTCAGCACCGCGACTTGCGGGTCTTGACATTTCGCCATCACCCTGGTAACCGGTGTCCAAACTAGTGATACTCGTGATGCTTGTTATAAAACTATTAGGTGCCTTTTTGTCTTTCGGATCTTGTAACGGCGTAGGATCCAGGGGTAATTCCTCAGGGGATGGTGTTTGTTCCAAACGAGCTAAACTCACCAACTGCAGGTTCATAGTAACATTGGATAGGTCAATCAAACCGAGGCTGTATTCGCCAACGGCCGACGACTCATTGTCATGAGGCAAAAGTCGAATATTTTCAGAACTAGGAGTCCTAGATGCAGCCAAACCTGTAGGGTCAATCATCTGATCAGGAGTCAAAATACCCAATGATTCTTCAAACTCTAACGAATCACGTTTGTTGCTTTCGTCTTCCAGATGCGAAGGTGACGGCCGATATTTCCTTAAAACAATTTCATCTGCCACAGGTGTAGATGAGTGAAGTAGTTTAAGATCTGAATAATTATTTGGCAAATCCAACACAAAGTTACGCCTTTTAATTGCTAAATTAGCTTTTCCCACTCGATTCGAATTGCATACGGTCTCGTTCAATTCGTAAGTCTTGTCGTTATCAGTCTTACTTTGCAGGAAAGTCTCACCAACAAGTTCATGATCGTCATTTGCTTCTTTATCAAAGGTAGTGTCAATGTAATGATTCTGCGACAAAGTTACCGTCGAATTTAATTGCGTCGTCGTGTCCATGAGATTTGGCTGTTGACCTGTGTTAAACGTACCATTCCCTTTCATTTGATTATCCACTATATTAAATGTGTTGTTTGCTTTCGTACTGGCTTCTTTCAGAACCGTTGTATTATTCAGTTGATTTACCATAAACGTTGTTTCGGGCAATTGCCCCGATGTATTAATAGTGGTATTCCCTTTCGTGTAAATACATTCATTTTTCTCCGGACTAATTTCTATTTTATCGAACGTGCGCGATCGTATCACTTTCGGCGTTGTGTTAACTGCAGAAGTCGGTGTAGCGGTGATAGAAATATTTGTGATGGTATTGTCTTTATCGGCGTCGTCACCTAGCCCGAAAATCATACTATACGGGCCCGAACAGTCGGTCTCTGAAGAAGGTGAATCAATAAGAGAGATCTTTGATACTGGTGTCATCAAACCAAGTCCTGGTGGGCATGAAAAATAGCGTAAACCATTTACAATGCCATCGTGTTTACCACCACTACCAGACAGTTCGACGCCGGCCCAAACTCCAGCTGCAAACTCGACTTCACCTACAAATCGAAGAATACCTTCGCTGTTTTTTGTAACTTGCACACGTTTGCCCAGATCAGCTCTTGTTATGGGCAACGCAATGACCGGAGAAATAACTGTTGGTTCTGGCTTCTGTTGTGGCAGATTCAGTTTGGCGACGATTCTGGTTGGTAGCGGAATTGTGGAGCCTGGGAGTGGAATTCGAGAGGTGCCAAACTTTGGTATTCTTGTCGATTTAGTAGGTGGAGGTGCGCGCTGAAAATTAAATCGCATACCAATTAGTAAAACGGCAGTGTAAAAACAGTAAATGACAAATACTTAATGAAATAAAAATTTTGACAATTGCTTCAAAGGGATAAATAAATAAATAACAAAGTTGAATGTTTTCACTTGTTATTATTACGTTTCAAGAAAACGTTTCAGTTCGTGACACAATAGTTAGATATTACTGAATTGAACATGTCAGAGTAAAAAGAACTCAATTTCGCGTGGATAAAGCAATTCGGAAAAATGTTTGCTCAGGTGTGCATTTCCCCTACATGTCTACAATTCTTTTTGTCGAGGAAGAATACACAAAAGTCAAAAAAAACTCAAAAACATACCATAACTAAAGATCGATAAGAGGAAAGCTCAACATTTGTGAACATTCTAGAAAATACACGTTGTGAAAACATTAAAACATTTCATGCACACTTATATTATTAATTCCGAATTCTTCACGTAAATGGAAACCTGCTGCGCGCATTTAACAAATGCGCAAACACGTGCGGGATTCATTCGTAGTGGAAATAACTACACATTTTCTCATTTGAATAACGGCGACGTGTAAAAACACATGTTTAATTGAGTGCGCTGACCCAAATCGCCAGTCGGCCATCGAACATCAAACAAGCTAAATATCCAAATCATACGCGTGCAATTAGCAAGCGCATCTCTAATGTCAACGACGATCGCAAGTAAATGTGTCGTCGTCGAGCGACTTTGAAGAGCAAACAGTGGTATAATATTGTCAAAGGTGTCATATCTTGTAATTTGTTACATTAGTCAAAGTAACGAATGAACCAGAAGTACGCTTACCGAAACCCAAACAAGCAGTACCGCACTATACTTTCTCAAGTAACATAAGCAATTAAAAATTTTGTATTTATCACTCGTATTGCAATATTATTTCACATAAGTTGAAATAAATATTATTTTAATTAAAAATAATAAAAGTAATTGTATCTAAATCCGGCTCTGTTGAAAGTGACTTCGGGAGGATTTTAATGAAACAAAACCTACGCACAGACAACATTTCCACAGTGCCACATGCATGCACACGAAAGCGTGGTATTAATGTCGGCATTAGTTACTCAGTTGGCCAAGTTAGATACGAGCGCCTGCATTAGCATGTTTTATATTCAATTTTTCCTTGTAATCCAATTAGATGATGGAATCAACTCCTGCAACTTAGCTCATCGCATCATAATAACTCGGTTGGAACAACGCAATAAAACGTAGAATTAGGTCAGTCAGACAAAAAATACGAAATTTTACGTCTTGAAAATCAAAAATGCAATTACAAATTACCTCCGAAACTATGATCCCTGCACCTATAACTCAACTTCCTCCTGTTACCTATGGCAATAGTAATAAATTATTTTAATGAGCAAATTATAAATATTATTATAACATTTAAATGCGGTTCAAGTACCTCGCAATTTTTCTTCACGCCATTGAACGCGATGTAATCGTAGATATAAATAAGCAGTGTAATGCAATATCGCACTAGCGAAGTGTTAATTAGCTTATAAATATTAATCATAATCATTGCGTTTAAAGATAGTACAAATATCGATAGCTTAGTTTCATATCTGTATGTTCACGCGCGATTAAAAAGCAATTAAACAGTAGGAACTGAAGTTATCATAATTAACACGTACACGTACCTACACCCAATGATTTGATTATACAAATTGATCGACAAGAACATTTGCAACGTTTTGCACGTTTTCTGTGGCATCCTGTTTAGTTTTCCTGTTTAGTAAATGACGTCTGGTGAAAGCCGTCAATATTTCCTCGCATCACTTCGAAACTTTTCAATTCACGGTAAAACGTTAATGTTGACGTGGACGTTTAAAGTAAATTACGTTTTTTTTGCGACATCAAATTCACATCGATGAGCAATACACAAAATGCCGAAATGTCATAGAAAATGAAAAGCCAGACGTCAATCACCCGTCTTTGAATACGCGGCTTAAAAAACTGCAGGATGTTTAAGTACAGTAATGAAAATGAAATGTGCAGATGTGGCATGGAATGGTACGTAATTAAAACGGATGTTTGCACAAATAAGCAGCGTGTGAAGAGACCGAAGACAAAACGTTGACACACAACCCATAAAAAGTTAAACAGCTAGTAACGTAAATATTGAATCGATGAGCTCAAGCATTAACAACTTGTAACAAAATCAACTTATGCAAAAAGCCGAGGCAATTGTGCGTTATTTTTGCACCGCTTAGCTTGCTTATTCACTTTCAGGATGAATGCACGGAAAACGAGAAAAAAAGAGCAGAGAAAAAGGAAGAGAAAAAAGAATCCAACAAAACGTCGTCGACCCGTACTCGTAATACACCTCTAATCGACGTCGAGTCTTGCCGCAGTAAAAAACGTGATCATTATTGCGTAATTATGTTTGTATCCATCTCTCGTCATGGGCACAAGCGCGCTACTGGCAGGCCGTCAGCCAAATGAGGCGTTTGCTATGGTATGCGGAGAAAAACGCGCGCAAGAAGCTAAGAGATCAGAGATTGAAATGATGGCCGGACAATCAACTGCACACTGCAGTCACAATCATCAAGACTACATAAAACTGCATTCATTATTAAATGTTTATAGAACCGAGAAAGTTAGATAATTTAGGTATTAAGTAATAACTTAAAAAACTTTTTGTGATAGAATTACGAATTTTAAATAAGGACCCGGAATTAACCCCAGCAAAAACATTTTCCCCCACCATTTTTGGAAGGTCATACGCATGTACATATAGGTCAATCATGGGTCTTCTCCTCCGGGTGTTACATATTTTTAGTTTACCACATTATTATCGCAAAAGTTGTAAACAATTAAAGTTTTGATAAACTGACAATAAATATTTAATTTTAAAGCGATTCAAAACTCTGCGCTTGTGCTGTAAAGCGTGAGGTATGTGCTTTCAACGTGTCCTTGAAACGTACGACAAAAACCTATGTCGTTTAACATTTTATGCCGTCAAGACCAATGAGCAGCAGACAACAGACGTTGAAAAAGTTATTGTCGTGCGAGCAATAATTGTACTCGTACTTACGATTCAACATGAAACTCGAGTTTCTATTTCTGTTTCGTTTTCACAGAATCACAGCGTGGCAAGTCAGGCAGGCAATGGTTAGGTCCAACAATCACAAAACAATGATGTGTTAATTGTTTGTTAATTGCAACACGTTTAGCGTCAATAACGTTGATTCTTCAAATAATTCTGCTGTCTTGCAACTTCCTGCGTAAGTATATCAGGTAAACAATAAAACATAAAATTTGTTCCAAGCAAATAGTATGTTTGAAGCTTTTAAGGGAATAACTTGTACTAAAACGTCGTAAGATCACGCGACCCACTAGAAGGTCGTTTACATGGATTATTTCCAACCAAAACAATTATTTAACATTATTTCGGGCAACGCGTCGCGCGTGTGTTTACGTAGCCGTTGTCGTTCGAAAACCGTTGATTAAAAAAATGTCACTCCATAATGAAGGGTCATTCGGTGCTGCTTCGTGCACGCTTCGTTAAAAAGAGATTTTAATTACGTTCGAGTTCAATCGCGCTCCTGCTGATAACACCGATAAACGTTAATTAAACAAGTGTCGCGCTACAAGCATTGATTAAATTGAAGCGTAATAAATTGATAATTAAACAAACAGATAATAAACCTGTCAATTTCAATCAAGAGTAAAGCAAATCAACCAAAATACACAATATTATGCTAATAGATATTATATAAACAAATTTGAATAACATAAAGTTGTGAAGCCACAACCAATTATTAAAAACCAGTTTGAATATAGGATCAGCAAAAGTTACATAGACAATTTATTACTTAGTAATTATAGAATTTAGAGTAAATCTCGAGGAAATAAATTGATAAAAATCAACATTCTAAAACTAGTTTAATAATTTTGTTAAATTTCGTTCTGTTTTTGGGTTGAATTTAAAAGTTTCATCATGTAATTTAAATGCCAAACACTCATTGAATGTTAACTGGTTAAAGAATTTAGCATACAATATTAATACATCAAAGATAAAATTAGAATTCCTAATGCTATTGCTATTGCCCCAAGGTTTTACGCAACATTAGATTCTTTTATTCCGGGTCAAATTCGTAAATTTGAAAGCAAGTTTTCACTTTTCGATTCATCAACACTTGAAGTCACTGAATATATACCATAAATTTAATCAAACTATACAACAATACCGTACCTATTCTTATCATCCTCGATTGTTTAAACTTTTCATCGGATCCAATGTGAAACAATTCGCTTTCAATGCGACAAAGGCAATGCAAAAAGACCAAATTTTATTTCGCTGCTGGTAATATAATCCAACTAGAACGACTAGCACTCCGCAAGTTTTCGCAACTTTCCTCAATTCCGTTTGGATTTCGTTTATTTCATCACATTACACTCGACAAATCCACAATTCACACAACGGCATCCCGTTTCGTTTCTTGGTTTCAAGCACGCTGATGTCATGCCACCATGCACCGAGACTCCGCTTTTCATACGTATCCCTTTTCGTAGTGTTTTTGTTTATTGTTTCACTGCCGACTGAGAATAAATTATGCATTCGCGTACACTAAGTTTTCCACTTCGATTGCTACGTAATTTGCTGTCCTCCACACACGCCTTTCAATCCAAGAAGCCGTTTTCCATTTGGTTTATTTGTGTGTTTATATTTTGCGCGGCGTAGTACATCGCAGTACATAACACCAGCACACGCATGCAGTTGTTGTTACGATACAAAACGCCCGGTTTCATTCAGCTGCTTGCTGACGACCAGCCGTCACAAACTACCGACCAACACTGTTCCCCCAGCAAGTGGCAGCGCGATTGGCACCGCACAAAAAGTTTAAAAAGCCCACCATTGCGACGTGCGTTCATCAGCCGGTACGTTTGCCGTTGGTTGCGCGGAGATTCAATGAATACAACTACGACAGTTGCGCACTGAACTTGTGTAATTGCGCGTACTGCATGTATACTGCGCGGCAAAGATAGATACTTCTGTTTACTTCCTAATACGCGACCGCGATGTTACTCAAACACTTCAAACTGCGCTCATGCACTTATGCACTTAGCCTTTCGGCTTAGATGTATAGAGGTTTAAACATGCTATAACTATAACTATGTGCACAGGAAGATATAGTGGAGCATCGATCCGATGATTGTACTGGTCATTACAAACAAAATTGTTACGAGTACTCAAACCGAGTGGATATTTATCGATTAGATCGTCGCTAACATACCACTGATAAAAATGTCCTACTCATTGAGGAATAACAACATAGAATTTAATTAGTTTCAATTTTACTGATAACTTTAAAATGAAAAAAATGCGATCATTGAGCTAATCGTAAAATAAATATCAATTTAAATGCATACCTACAGTTGCAATTTCTCCTATTGCGGATAATCTCTCAAGTGTGAACTAGTTAAGTACCTAATCACCTGCTAGTAAATTATCACTGGTTTAGAAAAGTAATTTAACCGTATTTCAAATTAAATACACATTTAATCTTGATATATGGCAAATATGCGTATACTCGTAATGTGTTTAAATTGCACCGTCCTAATTTCAATGCACTTTAAATTTGCACTCCACCAAACCAAACACAATAAATAGAATCTTGCGAAACACCCATGTCCACATTGTATGTATTTATAAAAAGCGAGTTCCTGTTTAACAAATACGCACGCACACGAATGCAAATTTCACGCATCTAGACAATGCGGCAGAGCATTTGAGTTATTTTCGCCCGTGCGTATACGCAATCGAAAGTTGTGCTGTGTTCTGCAATCCGCGTCTATTTTTCGCACGTCAATATTGACGCAGCGCCAAGTCTTAAAGCCATTGGAATTAAGCTAATCGCCCGATTGCATCGAGGTGCTGGATTTATCTCGTTCGTTTAAATCAACGCAGATATATCTAGAATTGGGTTGGGCTTACCTAACTACAGTAGCATCTTCCTCAGAGTCGATAAAATAACCAATATTAATTTAATAAAAATGCAACGGGATTACGCACTAAGCATCAAAGCTAAAACTTTAAAAATTAAAAAAGAAACAGTTTTCTTCGTTTACATTTTAATTTTAAAAGAAGTTAATGGGCCGCATTATTGCAAAAACTTACTAATAACTACTACTAGAAGTTTAATGCTATGTAATTAATATCTCACTTTATGATGATAGTTGCTAATAATAACGGATCTGCAGAACTGATTAGTACTAGAATGTTATGTTATATTGGCGCACGCTCGAAGGCTCATTTCGTGCAGCAATTAGTCAACCATAAATCGTTAAACTCCGACCCTGCCTGCGCGCGCGCTGGCTAGAAAGTAGTCGCATTCGAGACATGCATGTGATGGCAGAAAGACGCGAGAACCGGCACACTCGAAAAGCCAGTGGCCGTTCGAAAACCGCGCGGATTCGCCGCGATTCCCACCGGTGTGTCCTAAATTTCCACATTTATAAATATAGCTCAACACCATGTAAACACATTCCCATCATTTGCACCATCGAACTGAATGCATTGCATTTATCTTCTATTACAAATTATATTTGCATAAATAAATAATCTTTGTTTAGAAATCAGTTTAAGACTTTGAAAAACTTTGTAAACTTCAATTTCTGCCTCGTCATTAATATTTGCAATCTACGAGTCCCAGAAGAACGTTTATAATTTGTTGTGCTCTTGCATCGATGAGAATGAGAAATGAGAAATACACAAAGTTCAAGGTTTAAACAGCACGTGCAATTGAGATGATGAAGAGTCATAGTGCAGGCGAAGATATTGCGTTGCTATCCCCTGCTATGAGCACTTGCAGCACGACTGCAATATGGCAAAACAAGTAGACGCTAGATTTCGTTGCGTCTCCTGCAAAGTCTATTCACATACGGCACCCATTACAAACTTTCCCATAAGTTGAGCATCATCGCAGACGACAGTTTTCAAAGTTTATCGCTTAAATCACGACCAGCAAGCGAGCGGACTGCGGCTCAAATCTGCACTTGACGGGCGCTTGCCCCGGCGTGCTATTTATGAAACAAATCGGTGTCGAAAGAGCGTTTTTCAAATTTTACTAGTTCCTGTCTTGCCACATCCGAGATGCTATAAATTTGTCGGCTAGCCATAAAATCATTTCACTCCGCAACAAAACCAAAAATAGCAAATGTTATCACATAATGCAAATGGGACGATAATATGTAAAATATTCCTAGAAATATTCAGCAAAATTTTTAATCAGCTTGTTTATTATTGCTATTTCGTGACGATTACTTTGCTGTCAATCAATGTTTAGTATTACAACACATGGAGGACACGCTAAAACATTATTATCCTGCTAATCCATTAGAAAATACCTCACGCAAGCTTTCAAAATTTGCAAAATTAAATTCAATTAAAAACTACTTTATGGCAAACAATATCAATGCCACAGGTAATGTCGCCACATTAGCAAACTCAAGTTCAACGCAATTACCTACAAATTGTTGTTTTTTGTGTGTAAATTTTGACAAATCTAACACGATTGTTGTAAAGTGTAGACATGTCAACATGAGATATTACGACATCCTCAATAACCTGCCAAAACATGATGTGAATCCGTAAAATAAATGCGCGCTTCATCAATAACGCGCAGTGTACAACGCGTGGGTGCGCTTACTGTTTATGGCGTTATCAAATATTTAAAAAGTAATATATTCCGAGCACGTTTCCAGCGTGGCGTTGTTGTTATGCGGCGTGTCGGTGTCCCGCATGAGGTTGATCGACGCGACGCCACACGTATCGACCGCTTCGCCTGCCGCCGACGCCAAGCTGGCCGCAATATGCCGTCGCTGCGATTAAAGCGAATAAAGCGTATAATCCGCGAGTAAGAGCGGAATCCAGCGGAGAAGCAAGTGGAAAAATTCAATTAAGCGTTACTTGTAAAGGGATTCAGCGCAAACCCTATACAGACATATTGCATGCAATATAAGAAAATTGATTAGGTTTCTTCATAATACATCATGAATATACAGTGTGTTTTTTTTATTAATAAATATGCAAAACAGAGTTTTTATTTCTTACGAGCAACAAGGTGTGTGACTAATGCAAGTACTAAAGAGCTTTCCGAAAAATCTAGAAGTCATCTATAAATTTTCCCCTAAGGTCAAGTTTTCTACTTGAATACTACAACTGTATTCGTAGTTTCACGTGAAATTTCCCAGCAATGCCTCACTACTTCGTTTTCTTATACTATTTTCTGTCGGGCTTTTGTGCTTACAGAACATTCATTAACTGCAAAGTTCGTGTTTCATCCTCATCAGCGTGTATTACGCATTCATTACAAATAACACGTTTAGATGAATAAGCAAGACAAAACAAGAAAATGTTATCCGGACGAAATTCAACCGAAAAAAGCGAACAAAAAGTCCTTCCTTTCCACACCGTCAAGTCGGGAGGAAGCTAAAGAAGCCGAATAATTATGTCCACATGAATAAGACAAACTGTTTGCCAACAAGCGCAGCAGGAGTAAACAAGTCATCGCGACTGCGATTCTGCAAGTGACTGCAAGTTTGCGAGCAAAAAACGCGCAAGACTTCCTGGGATTTCACCATGATGCACACACAGCGACGACGCTCACTTACGTGATCTCTAGTGGTCTAATAATAACGCAACGGCATAACGCGCTGTGTAATTTTAACAAATATAATAAGGGTAATGAGTAATTATAAACGGTCGGCGGGTAATTTTAGTATCCGATTTGAATTGGCGATTTCTGTCACGCAACGTGACATTTCGCATTGGTTTCGCTATGAATGATTTCTAACTGGGCGCAGAATTATATCTTGTGAAATTTACATTGAATATCACCGTTATTTTTGCATGTCGCGCAATTTAATTTTTGATTATTGGATGTTACTATCATAGTTATTAGAGGACAATGATTTATTAGAAACATTTTGCTGCAACGTCCCTGTACTCGTTGTGATATCAGTTTATTGCTCAGCGAGTATAATTTAATTCACATGGAATGTTGAGAAATTTAAATAAATATATACCTACATTAATAAGGTCGCTTAGAAATGATCGCGAATGCTTCAAACATCGAATGCAAAACTGTTTTGCGTAAAAGTGTCCTTCAATTATGCAAGATGACATGACATACAACTATGAATAACCGTTATTAATAAATTGATTTACAACATTCTCTCAATGCGCGCGTACGTAATTACTTGTAATTGTTTATAAACGCTGTATGTAATTATAAACGTAAGTACAAGGAAGCAACTGATGCGCTTGATAGATATAATATTTAACAAAAGTAACTCTAGTAATTAATAACATAATGTTAATTAAAATGTGTAATGGTATAATACCTGGGCCTCATTGTGTTCCTGTGTTCTCACGGGCATTATTAATAAATAAATTATCGCATTTTAACACATCATGAACAATCGCCTTTAACTTATATGTAGAATAAGCACAACAGAACAATAAATATCATACATTCGTTTGTTCTGCCCAAGTAACCTCCTTTAAATCGCAATGCAAAATAACAAACTCTAATTATGACTTAATCGTGCATAAAAACAACTGCAGAAACCCAAGAACAACAAAGTAATGAGGGAAATAAAATTCGGTCTACAAAACTAATGCATGATAAATCGATTAACCCACTGAAAGCCCAGTGTCAATTAATAATCCAATGGCGCAGTAGATTACTCAGAAACAAGACAAAAAATAACTCTTCGAGCCAAAAACAAAGCTAAAGAAAAGAAAGTCAAATCGATGTAATGAATCAATTTCTCTCGACAAATGTGATTAAGAACATAAATGGCTAATGAACGCAGAAAAACTTACGAAATAATGCGGTCCTATATTGATTATAGATTCTTATCACTTAATGAAATCAAATATTTATTGTTGTAACCTAATTTTATTGCTTTACGTGGGAACTTGAAATTAACTTTCATTTTCCTAAGTTAAAATTGGTTCCAATAGATACTAAAATTCAATTACCAGGTGGGCTTAAGTCACGATCTGTTTCCTACTTAATTTGTGAATACCTCGAAACCTATAGCAAACCAAAGATAACTCCATTTCATCATGCAATTAACGTTGTGATGTGAAAAATGTTTTCACGTTTGCACCAAATATTAACTGCTTCAAAATCTAATCGAAATCTTTGGAAAACTGTAGGCGCACAGCGTAGACAGTGCGGCAGCAAGATCATAAAGGCTAAAAGCTACAATTTCACGGGCAAGGCGCACCTCCAAAAGGTGATTTCAAACATACACACACGCCAAGGCACATACCGCGACGTCGCGTTTCGACTTTGTCGATATTTACTAGAAGCATGCCTATACAAACATTGCGGCACGCTCGAAATGGGAACGGTCCTTTCTTTCCATTCATGCCTTTCGTATTTTTTATTGCCATTAACAAATGGGCATTTATTTGACACACACTCACGACATATTTGGACCCGCGTTGCTGAATATTTATATAGGCACACAAGAGGCTATTTCCTTTGGTGTCAAGCGAAATTCACATAAATCAACCGAAAATGTTATTGCAATGTATAATATTGTACTTACTTAAGATAATTTATAATTTATAAGAATATAGTAAGGTAGGCAACCAAATAGACGGCGTTTTCTGAATGAAATGATGCGTGACCACAAAGTTTCACTCTTTGGATTTGGAGCGTCTGTAGATATGTCAGGATGTAATTTGAATTTATGAATAAAATGGTATGCGCCGAGGATTGACCGCGTTACCACACAACTTCATATTTTTATTGACCAACACGAACTTGAAACTTTTTCCTTCGTGCGATTTTCCATATTTTCTGGATGTTAATTCCCACCATGCTTGAGTTAACAAAATCTGTTATTTCATGGTTCAATTCATGCAAACATACACTAAAGACCAAATGTAGATTAAAGGTGAATGAAACAGAAACACGAAAAACTCAGAAAAAATGTAAGATTAATATCATCGATAAATCTATTGATAAAACTAGAACAAGTGTGAAAATATCTCTTATCCGATTGGATTTCTCCCAATCGCATAGTAATATACTCCTCGTTAAAATTACTCTTCTCACTTCTAAACATTGGTTCATAATAACAATAAAAATAACAATAACAATATGCATAAATCATAAATCATGCAATAATTCTAAATGGATTTTCTTTGTATCAATCTAAACAATGTTTTAGAAAGTTCCTATATTTGTATTGTCCTCACACTCCTCATAATAACACCGAGTGTATTTTCTACCAAAACAAAAGATAAATAAAACCTGAGATGGCTATTAGCTTCCTGGAAAGGTTTAAGTTCATACGTTTATTGCCATGTATCCAATACACGTCGGGACGTGCGCACTACCCACGGAGAACTTGTAAAGGTAATAAAGCAATGACCACGAAATTTTATCAACGAATAACGTTGGCGTTCGATGAGCACAGAGCGCTCGGTCGACAACATAGGTGTTCCTACATAGTATATTTATATATTCTCAGTTATTTATGGGCGAATTCATTGAATTTCGTATCCACGATGATTTAAATTGAATAGATCGTCAACAATTGTCCAAAGATCTGGTATAATACGAGTACACCCATAGCTCTGCTTTGGCATTGGAATGGAGGTGATGTTAAAATTAAAATGCAAGATGGAAGAAATTCCTGCGGCTTCGCATGAATAGTGAAGCGTGAGCCAATTAAACGAACAATCAGACACTAAATATTAAATCAGTCGGTTCAAGGAATCTGCATTTGCATAATATAGAATCAACTCCAGAAACTGGATTAATTAGTGTGCATTTTACGAAGATTACTGAGAACAAAAGCAAATTTGATCTATATTTTAATCAAGATTAATTATTAGTAGCGATTACGATTCAAGTAAAGAATGTCAAATAAAGATTATCATAAGTATCAATTATTCCTGAGTAATTTTATCTGATTTAATACATTGCGATAATTACATTCCAGAGAGCTGGTATTCATTCAGACAAAAGTTATTTATACTGAATGAGATACATAGAAACGTCCGAAAATGTATGTCAACGGCTGGCGAGGGCAAGCCCATAGCTAATTGCCAAACTCAAATGCAAATTTATGCAAATCACAACGCGATGTCCACAATCCACATTATGCAACATTCACTTTTGTTATTTTATTTGTTACAAATGTGTGCAATTCCAGCACACATAAAATAAATAAAATTGAAATTCTGCTTCAAAACATGTAAATAAACAAGAAGAATATTTATCGGCGCGGTTATCTAAAAATATTCCGCGATAACAACACGTGTCACGTCGCAATCCGCTTACAAAAGTCTGTCTTGCTTGAAGGTCTTGTAACTCGAGTGTAAAATGAGGAATAGCAACAATTATACATGGAGCCACGTTATGCAGTATGCATGCGTTCGCATGATGCATGCAATTTTGCTGTTCCTGCGGGCGCTCTTTGCCTCATCGCTTCAGCACACTTTAAGTGCGCTGGTCGCAACTTGCAAGTAACTTTTATGTAATAGGTTACGGTAATGTGTACGAGTATTTTCTACCTATCTGCCCGGCGTATTTCTCAAGTGCGACGGCAGGAAAATTGAAGCAAAGGTGGCACTTGCGCATCGCTATAGGTAAATGAACCCTGAGTTATAGCCCAGTTATTAATGCATTCGCTTTCGCGTCCGACCTCGGTACTGTGACCGAGCCCGTCAGTCGAACGGCCAATCCTTCGTATTGAAATTACTTCCTCATATCGCAAGTCTAATCATCAGTTTACCGACCAAAGTTATACATCATTTTAATGATTCTCATATTTCGAACATAAAATTTAAACAGGAATAAAATGGTAGGTACTCACCACAGTGGACGACATGACTTTCAATAGTCTGTTGTTGCGATTCAAACACCGTCACTATTCCCGAATGGTTGATTCCACTGGACTCGCACGACCGGAGGTGGCATACGATCGGTGATAACACCGTTTGTGGCCGTAATAAACAATCCGTTGAAACCGTTTTTCAGGTTTTTCAAAATGTCCAGACACCCATACGGCGCAGTGTGCAACTCGCACCTCGCCGAGAGTGGAAAAATTTAATGTTTACCCGCGCGATGTTGTTGTCAGCGATGTGCTCGGAACAATAAGCAGCGGGCGCGATAAGTCAAAATGTAGTGGATGCGAATCGCGACATGTGGATCAATACTGGCGCGCGCGCGGCGCCACAAGGTACACGTTCAGCGTATCAGCGGCGCATGCAAACCGCCGGTACGAAGGCGGACGACGCCGCCCGATGCTCCAAGACGATACGGCACATGCCGGCGCGCTTGTAAATTTTCGCAAACATCAGCAGGACGCCGGCGCCTTCTGCACTCCATTCACGTATCGCGCCATCCTGCACGTCCCACATTCACAGAGGGCACACGGGGGCGAAACCAAACGACCAGTGTATTCATGATGGCTACGTGTCCGGGAAGACAATTCAGATTATACCGGATTTATCAATTTGCGCTTCGCAAAACAATACTGCGCTGACACATAGGCAACACAAAATACTAGTTCAAAATTTATCGTAGCCATATTGGTTGGACCATTTTCTTTCTAATGTCGTTCATTGAATAACACAAATATTTTTCACGCTTGTAGTATTATAAAATGAGTCGGCGTATTTGAAACTTTACAATTTTTTATTATTAGTATTCCTAGTACAATTTATTTTACCAAATAATAAAATGGCAAATGTTGCATTTTCCAATATAAATTCTGGTAACAACACATTAATCTTCTAAATGCGTGATAAATAAATATTCTATTGCCCCATTTAGAAAATTACCCTCGCCATCCATCTCCGAAACTTGTCACCTTCAATATTGTTGTTAATCCGTTCTTAAAAGCATTGCAAATCGATATTAGCATCGCTATGGCAACGGGTGCGGCTGTGCGCTCCACGCAGCATCCAGCGCCTTCGCCGATCTCGGCAGATCAGTCCGTCGCCGACAGCGCGATGCGTTAACCGCCGCCCCCTCCGTAAACACATCCGCCAAACATGAAGTGGCTGGTGCTAAAGATCTTCCTGTGGGGAGTATGCGGCGCGCAATGGTCCCCGCCAAATACCGCCGTCTACAACATTGGCGGCGTCCTCAGCAGCAACGAGAGCGAGTTCTATTTTAAGGAAACCATCGCGGTATTACTCATCCCTCCGTGTGTGTCATCCCCAAAACCGTTTGTTTTGTTTTTGTAGCACTTGAACTATAACACCCAATATGTCAACAAGGGAGTTACCTATTACGACACGGCGATTCTGATGGACCCGAACCCAATTCGAACTGCTCTGAATGTTTGCAAATATCTAATTGCAAATAGGGTACGTGGACGGATGTTTATGGATTATTAGGTTGTAACGAGGTCATTGAACATTGTTGTTTTTTTTAGGTGTATGCGGTGGTTGTATCACATCCACTTACAGGAGATTTGTCCCCAGCCGCTGTTTCTTATACCAGCGGATTTTACCACATCCCTGTTATTGGAATATCATCCAGAGATTCAGCATTTTCGGACAAAAACATTCATGTGTCGTTTTTGAGAACCGTCCCGCCCTATTCTCACCAGGCGGATGTATGGGTTGAAATGTTGAAACATTTCAATTACAAAAAAGTGATTTTTATTCATTCTTCGGATACTGACGGAAGAGCGATTTTAGGAAGATTCCAAACCACTTCTCAAAGTATGGAAGATGACATAGAAATAAAAGTACAGGTAAAACCATTTCTTTATTTTCTGTATCTTGCGGAAATGAAGTTTTGCTATCTCTGTAGGTAGAGTCGATAATTGAATTTGAACCGGGCATTGAAACTTTTACGGCGCAACTCAACGAAATCCGAAACGCCCAAGCTCGGGTTTACTTAGTCTACGCAAGGTATCATCAAGTTTCTCTTTCAAAACCCAGTATTATCGCTTTCCCATTCTTGACGCAAACAGAGTTATCTAAACGTAATGAAATGTTTGCAGTAAAACCGACGCACGGGTGATTTTCCGCGATGCAGCCTGGTTAAACATGACTGACGCAGGATACGCCTGGATTGTCACCGAGCAGGCTTTGCAGGCAGACAATGTCCCAGAAGGACTTTTAGGCTTAAAGCTTGTGAATGCCACCAATGAGAAGGCGCATATACGTGATAGCATGTAAGTCTTATCAGAGACTCAAAAAGTTGTAAATTCATTAAAACTTCCAAGGTTACTGATACTGACATTATTCAAACTTTAGATATGTATTGGCATCTGCTTTGCGCGATATGAACCAAACAAAAGAGATCGCCGAAGCACCCAAAGACTGTGACAACTCGGGTTCCATTTGGGAAACTGGAAAAGATTTGTTTAACTTTATTCGCAAACAAACCCTGATGAATGGCGAAACCGGAAAAGTTGCGTTTGATGATCAGGGTGATCGCATCAACGCCGAATACAACCTCGTAAACATACAGCTTCGTAAGAAACAAGTTAATGTGGGAAAATATTTCTTTGACAAGGTACAAAACACAAAATAAAAAATTAACTAGGAGTTAGTTATATAAAATAGTGTAGGTAATACTAATTCTATGCTAATCAAAATTATGCTTTTAAGCTATCATCACTTGGGAGCAGATATTATACTAATTAATTACCTACTTTACATAGGATACCAATCGAATGACTTTATCAGTGGATGAGAAGAACATTATGTGGCCTGGTCGCTTAAACATAAAACCCGAAGGCTTCATGATTCCGACACACCTGAAAGTGCTCACCATCGAAGAGAAGCCATTCGTTTATACACGCAAATTAAACGACCAAGAGGAGTGTCTGCCTGACGAGGAAATTCCATGCCCGCATTTCAACTCCACTCAAGATGGTACGCTTTTAATGAGTTCTCATTTATTATGCGAATGTGCGCTCGTATTTCGCGCAGTAAATTAATGTTCTGCTCCAGAAACAGGAAGGTACTGCTGCAAAGGGTTCTGCATGGATCTCTTAAAAGAACTGTCCAAGAAGATTAACTTCACGTACACATTAGCACTTTCGCCTGATGGCCAGTTCGGCAATTACCTCATAAAGAATAACACCACCAAGAAAGAATGGACCGGACTGATTGGTGAATTAGTCGGTGAGCGGGCTGATATGATTGTGGCGCCGTTAACGATCAATCCTGAACGCGCCGAGTTCATTGAGTTCAGCAAACCGTTTAAGTATCAAGGCATCACTATTCTGGAGAAAAAACCCTCGCGGTCGTCCACCTTGGTATCCTTCTTGCAACCATTCAGTAACACGCTGTGGATCCTCGTTATGGTATCTGTGCACGTGGTTGCATTAGTGCTGTATTTGTTAGATAGATTTTCACCGTTTGGAAGGTTCAAGCTGGCAAATACTGATGGTACAGAAGAAGATGCTCTTAACTTGTCGAGTGCCATTTGGTTTGCCTGGGGAGTATTATTAAACAGTGGCATTGGCGAAGGTTTGTAAAACATTATTCGATGGAATAAATCTATTTCGAAACATTTTACAGGAACACCTCGAAGTTTCTCAGCAAGGGTTTTGGGTATGGTGTGGGCTGGATTTGCGATGATCATTGTAGCTTCATACACTGCCAACTTGGCTGCTTTCCTCGTGTTGGAACGACCAAAAACCAAACTTACAGGAATCAACGATGCCAGGGTACAAAACTAATGTTGATGTGTGTTAAAGTTAATTAACATATCTTGTAGTTGCGCAACACAATGGAAAACCTGACATGTGCAACAGTGCGCGGCTCCGCTGTCGATATGTACTTTAGACGACAGGTAGAACTATCCAATATGTATCGAACCATGGAGTCAAACAATTACTTGACTGCAGAGGATGCTATTCAAGATGTTAAGAATGGGTAACAACACCGTCACAACACCTGCTTGAATACTATTTACTCAAGTTGTGATTCCAGAAAATTGATGGCATTTATTTGGGACAGCTCACGCTTGGAGTTTGAAGCCGCTCAAGATTGCGAACTTGTGACAGCTGGAGAATTGTTCGGTCGTTCTGGATACGGTATAGGACTGCAAAAAGGATCGCCATGGTCTGATGAAGTGACGCTTGCAATTTTGGACTTTCACGAAAGTAATAAATAACCACCCACGAGATAATTACCATCTACATTATGCATGATTAACATTTCCAGGTGGGTTTATGGAGAGCTTGGAAAACAAATGGATACTCCAAGGCAACATTCAACAATGCGAACAATTCGAGAAAACTCCAAACACGCTTGGATTGAAAAACATGGCGGGCGTATTCATATTGGTCGCGGCAGGTATAGTCGGCGGTATTGCGCTTATCGTTATAGAAATGGCCTACAAGAAGCATCAAATCAAAAAACAGAAGCGTATGGAACTCGCTCGTCATGCTGCGGACAAGTGGCGAGGATGTGTTGAGGTATGTACTGGAAATATCTACGAAAAGTGATTGATTAGTGTGAACATGTGGTGGAAATCGTTACAGAAACGGAAAAACCAGCGGCAATCGCTGACGACGCAGCGGCGCATAAAATCGAATGGTGTCAACGATCCGACAACAATCAGCTTAGTCGTCGACAAGTACCAACAGCAGCGGCAGGGCGGCGGACCGGAGCGAGCATGGCCAGGCGATTCTGACATCAGGCAGCGAAGAAGCGACGAGTCGGGTGGCGGTGTACAACCCGTACCGCGGTATATGCCCGCCTACACTCCCGACGTTTCGCACCTAATTGTTTAATCGCGTTACTATAGTAAGCGCGAATACTCGTACCATAGTCTTGTGTATCAATGTCACGAGTGTTGTATGTACTTGAGGAAAGCTCGATAAACCATGCATCGACCAACCGGAAATGACAGGAAATGCAAGGAACGGAGAAATGTCGAGTGGCGAAACACTCGTTCATACTAGGCAATTAAACACGTTAGCGTAAACAAACTATATCTAAAAGACAGGTCACATTTAAATACATATTTGTGAAACATGTAGTTAGTGGGCAACAAAACCCTATAAAATCATAACTAAACTTTTAACCAAGGAGATTGGCGTTTAAACAGAGATAATTATTTATAATTCAATGTATACAGTGTAATCACTGGTTTTTGCCACCCAAATATATTATACTTGTTTCGAAATGTTTTTCTAATCAAAATAATTAATAATTCCATCACCTTAACTTTTTTTTACATCCGCCTATCCCAGGAGCATGAAAGAAGAGGTAAAATACTTTAATTTTTTTTTATTTATGTCTTATATTACAAATTTACTGATTTACGGTATATAATATGGCTGCTTATTACTACCTCGTAATTTATATAAACAAAACGACTTAAAGTTTTAACAAAACGGAAGAAAAAAAGAAACGAAATTATGCATTTAGCCAAGAGTTGCACATGTGTAATTGCAGATGATAACGAAATCACCAAACGTATCAAAATACACGTTATAAAATATTAAACATTAAAAATATAACAAATTTACAATAAGATATAAATGAGCAAGATAATGGCAACACAACAAATTCAATTTTATCAATCAATTAATATAAATTTTGTAACGAAACCTTACTCCTTCTTTCCATCATACACTAGCAAATCGAAGAATGAACATTGAATACGTTATTTGTAAAATAGTGTGTTGAGAAATACGCGTCTTGTTTGAACTTCATTAAAATCTATACATTAACTTGTACATTTACATTATTTATCATATTCGTTTTGCACATGCACATATTTTTTTCTCAAAATTCGTTCCATCAATATATCATTATTTGCACTTGTTTACAGTTTGCACAACATTTTTTAACGTAGTTAATATTAATATTTCACGAATAAAAATATTTATATATGGCCTTTCTTCTGGTAGAGGTAAATAGTTTCTCTATAAATATAATTTTCATAGATAATTTGAAAATAAATGCTTTTGTAGTAAACTTTTGTGATTTCTCCTTGCACATTACAACTTGTACGTAATTTAAAACTGCATTAAGTTATTTAATTTGTTTGCAAATCAAGCGCACTTCACATTAGGCAATATGGTAATATCCGTTTAATGCATGAAACAGCAAGTCCCATACAATTGTAAATCTTTGCAAAACAAGAGCACTTTACATTTAGGCATAAATTGGATGGATTTTAGTACCAAATAGTAAACGAGCAAATTCGTTTTTGTTATAGGTAAGATCGTGTGGCGCCACGATCTAGTTCCAATCAACATTCGGGTACAAGAAAAACAATACTTAATTATATACAATGCATCAACTTTTTCATAACTCACATTCTCAAGATAAGCGCCCTTTATAAACTTGCATATTAAAGTAGTAACAGCTTAATGTTTGGAAATTCAATACACACACATTCCGAAGACGCATTATCTGGGCGCTTCGTTATCGTTCATTTGTGTTCGTTGCACGCAACTTAGGCAATTAGCGAACGCATATCAAGTTACAATTTCACGAGATCAGTTGCAAACTCCTATTCACTGGTATTATTGTACCTTAATAAACTATTCGAAAATACAAAGTTGATCAAAAATTGTTTCCAATTTCACTAGTTTCCGAGTTATTTCGAACTTGAAGCCTTGTATTTAGAGAGGCATGCTTAAGGTAGGTAATCGTAATTAAAATAAAAACTTGCATTAATAACCGTTTATGAGACCGAACTGATGGCGTTGTGAGGAGCACCCATTTGCGTGAGCACCTTGTCCAGCCACTGAAGTGGACCATGCAAATGCACTTCGATCCAGCACGGCGTGCTCGTCACGTCCTGCCGATGGTACTCGGCACCCCAGCCTTTGACAAAACTCATTCGAATTGTGCACATTTTCGTTAGCTCATATACCGCCTCAAAACCGTGATTGACACACGTGGAAAGCAATTGCGCAAATTCGGCATTATTGAATATCCGCAGCGAGCATCCAGCAGGTATTTTGCATACAGTCGACGGGTGGAAGCTGTGGTGGTGATTGCAGTTACGCGACTGCACAAAGATCGCACTGTCCGACAGACACTCGGCGTACACCTCGCCATTCACATAGTACAAATGTACACCTTTGCCGATATGACGTCGTGTGTTCTCTATGGTCGAGTTGCGGTTGACGTTGCTAAGTTGGCCAAGACAAAAACGATCGTGGTTGCTACGAGGGTTGGTAAAACCGTCAACAATGACAGACGTTGATTGACAGTGGAAAACTTCACCGACACGACAATTGAGCTCGTAGTAGGCTATCGACGCCCAGTACTGCTGTTCTTGGTAAGCTACTGATTGCACATCAGCGAGGTTTGGCTCGGTCGTAACATTGTTGTTCGCAGGCTGGTCGTCGGTGGGACTGTACGCCGGTGGTGGTGTTTCTGCTAAATTCGAGTACGGCGACTGTGGATTGTTCGACGACTGCAGCGAGCTAATGCTGCCAGGGCTGGGAATATTCGCCGGTGAGCTGGGGCTGGCGTGACCACTACTGAAGCCGGACGAAGAATAGCTAACGTTGTGCGGCATATTGTTGTCAAGAATCTGTTGGAAGGGCAGAAGGGAATGTCCGGGAACGTAATCGTTGTGTCTTGGCACGAGCACTGGCGGCAAAACTGGACTCTCGACCCGTTTGTAATGATAGGGATTGATGCAGACCTCTTTCTGCTTGGCTGAGAATGGATATTGGCACTGCTCTATAGGCTTAAGTTCGTGATGGCTCTGCAAGTCGGGCCATCGCCACACTCGGCAATATATCACATGCGGCAAACCTTTACGGTGTGAGACTTGTAGGCGGCCGTCAAGAGAACGCGGAATTGTTACACATTTACTGGGCGTTCCTGGACAAGATAACGCGCGCTCTAGGTCCTCGACAGCGCCTTTTCGTTTCTTCAACTTCTTTACCAAACTATCCACAGCTTTCTCAGCCCACTTTTCTTCTTCATCACCTTGCTTCCAGCCAAGTAGTTTCTTTACAGCTGGACTGGTGAAGGAAAACAAGCTGTTCAAGCTTGATATTGGCCCACTGGATGATTCAGGCTCATCAGTCTCCATGGTGTTATTGTTGTTTGCTCTAAAAACCAACATTGTGCTAAGACACTCACTTTTCCAAGGGGGTGAAATACGAATTTAAATAATGCGCACACAGTAGGGAAACTTGCAAACGGGAAATGAGTCAGCGCACGCACACAAACACCCAATTTTGAGTCACAATCACCGCTCGCATCTTATCAGCATAGCGTAACGTGTATGGAGCGTAGAGTGCAAATGCATGCGCCTAAACCAAAGTTAGAGCGAAAACTAAACGAAACTAATGCTACAGCAAGCCGAGAGGTGGGATGAACGTGATGTTGATCCGGGAAGCGTCAACAACACAGCGATGGTTAGTAACGGCATACGGCGAAGCGGAGATGAGGGTTTAATAAGAGCAAAAACATCGCAAAATGCGCGAGTGATGCAAACTAGTTTCGTTTCGAAATGAAGAGGTAGGATGCATCCCAGGCAGCGGTGTTACCAGTGTCGTTTGAACCAGGAAATGATTGCAGTTCGCTTACCTGTTAGGTTCGACGCTCGCCGCAGTGCGTGCGAAATTATATCGATGGCTCGCGCGTTTATTTATCCACGATGCGTAATCTCGATGTGACGGTGATTATCTCGGCGTGAACTTGTAACATTAGCGCCGAGCGCAAACTGCTTGCAATAACACAGAGCAACGCACAGAAGCCAACCGAAGCCCGACATCCAGACGCCAGGAAGCTCGTTCGCCGTTTGGCCGCGGGCGCTTCGGAGCGCTGCGTTTGCGCACGTCAAAACGGAATCGCCGCGACCTTGGCAAGCTCGCTTACGCTCGTTGCCGAAAACTGACGAACAATTAAATAAATCAATTATTACAGGGTGTTTTGCAGACTACTACTTATTTAAATTGTTTAATTCTCTACTGATTCAGTTTTCAACGCTAACCGCATCACAAGGCAACCATGAATACACATTTTAAGCAATTCAACTTTTTTTTTTCTTGTTTTGGTGTTGATAAATTGAGTGCAGTTAACTTAACATCACAAATTTAAATTGAATAAAGGTCAAAAACGAAACAATGACAATTAATAAAATGAAGTATGTTTATTACAACATAATAAGAAAAAAACTGATATGCTAAACTAAGTATAATCGATACACGTATGTAGGAAATGCCTAAAATTACCAAATTATATCCTGAAACATTTCAACTCGCTAATCATGACGCAGTTAGCCGGAGCAACAATATACAAAGTACATAAATACTGGCACCATCTCGTGACACGACGCATAGCATTGATGTTTAGTGGATAGCAATCAAACCAGATTCAAGCAGTTTATGTATTTTAGCAGCAATGTCGGGATTCTTTAGATGATCCTGCAAAGCCCTAGGATCGTTCTGCATCTGTTCGAGAATGATACGCATCGCGGGATCGCGGAGAATCTGCTGCACTTCCGGATCGGCCATCGCGCGCTGTCGCACCTTTTCTGGATCGCTGCTATCAAGCATGGTACACGATCGATAGCCCTGCAATGCTTCCGCGTTGTTGGGGTCCAACTCGAGAGCTTTCTGGAATGCGGCGCTAGCCTTCGACGGCTGCTGCATGCCTTGCAGAATGTGTCCCTTGCGAATCCATCCTTTGATGAATTTCGGATCTAAACGGACGCAATCATCACAATCCTTAAGGCCTAGATCGAAAGCAGCTAGTTTAGTGTAGCACGCCGCGCGATTACTGTACAACTTGGGATCTTCTGGATTACGTCTGATGGCTTCCGAGTAGTGTTTGACTGCGGTGGCGTAATCGCCCTTCTTGAAAAATTCATTGCCGATTTCCTTCTCGGCTTCGGCCTTGGATGGATCAACATAGGCCTTGCGGTCTTCCTCTCGGATAACCTTCTCGATATCGCTAAGAAGAGTCTTGATCTCGGGCGTTCTGTGTTCGGACATGGATTTTTCATAGTATACCTTAGCTTGCTTCCATTGTTTAAGTTTCTTGTAAGCATTGCCTATTCTCATCATGGCTTTAGCGATAAGCTTGAAATCGGCGCGGTTTTCACGTCCTATATCGATGCCCTTTTCGCATTGCTCAATGCACTTGTCGAATTGTTTCATCTCGAAGTATACAGCCGCTAAGTTATTAAAGAAAGTGATGTCGGTTGGGTCGTGCTCAATGGCCTTTGTATAAAATTCAATTGCCTTCTCAAAGTCTTTCTTCTTGTAAAACTCATTGCCCTTTTCTTTAGCAGCTTTTGCTTCCCTCTTATTTTCTGGTAAATCAGGCTCAGGCTCCTTTTTGGGCACTTCTTTTGGTGGCTCTTGTTTCTTGGGTGGTGGAGTGTAATCAGAATCAGTCTCCATTGGTTCACCCTCTAAATTTAATAGAACACTAAGTGTGGTCATCACTCTGGGATCCTGCAGTTTGGTGGCCATTGCTTGTGGATTTTGCTGAAGCTCAGCCAAAAGAGTTAAATAACTTGGATCGTTGAGCAGTTCCTTTGTGCGGGGATCATTCCGCAATTTGTTCATAACTTCCGGCCCTGTGAAGGGATTGGGGAAAGATCTAGACTGTTGTTGCCTGGCACTGCTTGCTCTGCAATCAGCCAGGCCCTCCTTCAAAGTGGCATTAGTTGGATCAAGTTGTAAGCCAGCAGTGTAAGTTTCAATTGCCTCATCTGTCCTATTCAAATATGCCAGGGCGAGACCTTTGCGTGAATAACCCTTTGCCCAGTCAGGTTTAATACTAACAGTCTTTTCAGCATCTTGCAATGCCATATCATATTGTTGCAATTTTGCATAGGCGGCTGAGCGATTCGAATAGAGAACGTGATTGTTGCCGTCAAGATCGATGGCATCCGAGTAGAATTTAATGGCCTCATCGAATTTGTTTTCCGCCAATGCCTTATTGCCCAAATCTTTCAATGCCGCAACCTAAAACCGCATGTTTTGATGAGAGTCCGGCAGAGCGTGTGTGGGTGACATGTGTGTGAATGGAATTGTTCGAAAACGGCGTGCGACTGATTTAACCGTCACAAAATTATAAATACTTACTTGATCCATTGCTTTGTATCGCACGGTGCACAGATTACTAGAGAAATGTGGTTTAACGCTGATTCAGAGTCAAAAACTAAGGTGTAAATGCGCACGAGCCGGCGAGGTTTTTGCAGCACATGAAATCACGCGAATGTTCCAGAACTCTCTTGCCGATCCCCCACTACAATATCAATGTTGACACCGAACGCGAACGGTCGTCAACGAAACGAAGCGGTAAATTCAAATAATCTGACATATACAAGATGTTCAAAAATTAAAAATAAATTGCTAGGAGATTATTAAACAAAACATGTTTATAAGATTTATAGTTTACCAATATATTCATATGATTTAGAAATTTGCCGAGTAATTCTCGTCAAGGAGAGACGCTCAAAACTATTACAAATGGCGGAGTTATCCAACTCCTGCATAAAATTGTTATATTGTTTCAGATCCATCTCACTGCACGTTTTGCGAAACGTGCCCGCAGAGTCCTCATTGATATCCGTCAGCACTTCAATCGCTTCATTGAAACACAACAGGACGCGCTCACAATCCTTGTCAGTGAGATGAAGATCGCCCAGCGATTGCACAAAGTACAAATTGCTGTACAAGTGTTTGCATTTGGCGCGCAGGATCACTTCAACTAAGAGCAGCACGATATCCTGATTGTTTGCAATTGGGATGTTACCAGGAATTTCCGAGCAATCACCGCCGCTTTCGGCGATGAGTTCGACCATTGCAAACTTCAAATCGGCGAAAATAAAATCGTAGCACGCCGACATGCATGCCATTTTTTCGTGGACTGTTTTATGTGCATCTAAACTAGCCAATTCCACAATGGATGCCGGCAATTGAACATGATCAAAATTATGAGAAAACTTCACATTTTGTAGAGATAAACACTTTTGGAAGATCAACTCATCTTCGGTCTTGAATGCTTCGTAAAAAATCGGCGCCACAGCATCATGGAATTGATTTAATATATAACTGAAATAGTATACACATTTAAAATATAATTTTCCGTATAATCTTATATTTAGGACTTTGTAAATACCAACCATTCTATTGACGTAACTAGTTTATATTTGGATGCTTTCTCTCCAACATATTTCTGCTTAATATCGTTGATGAATTGTAAAACTATTTCAGAAACGTCTTCACACTTTCGATTTTTTAGAATTCTATGTTTGATTTTGTCACATTTGCTTTGAAGTTTGTTCAGATCAATGAGATTTTCAGTTAAACATTGTTCTATTCTAAAAAATGCACATAATTTATTACTATTTCATGTTTAAAATAGAATTTAAGAACTTACTGCTTACAACTAAACTCATTCATGATGATATTACGTTGTTCACACTATTTTCACATGAATGATAATGATTTTATCAAATCATGTTAGTATTATCACACAAATTCTTTATCACAATTCTAATCGCTCCCCGTATCAAGCATTGTTCATGTTAAGTATTTTGCTATCTGCTTTTTGTCACAACAAAAACGCAACAATATTTCAATATGGTTGCCAGCGCTGTCATGGCAACCATAACAACAATACAAACAAGATCTTAAAAAAATGTGAGTTGCAATCAATACAAACACAGTTTTGTTTTGTTTCCGCATTCAACAATAACAAACAACCATTTTTGGTTGAAAAATAATTGAAATTTATTAAAGGAGTTAATTGTTTTCATAATAACATGGATTGGAAAAATAAAGTAACATCATTAACCGACATGGTGATACCGGGTATCACCGACACGAGTAACCATAAAATCATAGGTAAAACTAAGTAATTTTGACGTTTAATTACTGTAGTCATAATTTATAACTTAATTGATAATGCTGACTTAAATATATAGTACAATCATGATATATTGGTAGCATGATCACAATAAACATACGCACACATAGTAGAATGATGGATTGATTGATTGTAATTATGTATATTGGATTATTATTGCTTTAGAAAATGAAGTGATGTCCAATTTACCATTACAAATGTCACTGTATTTCAACGTTATATTTTTCCCCATTTGGTTGATTGTAATAGCTCTACTTTTATACGATAAAGTAAGTAAGTGTTTATAAATAGTCTAACAATAATTTCAAAGTATTTTTATTGCAGTACGCGTGTTATAACTCATTCACAAAATTTGTAATAATCACTATCATCGTAACCATTGTAATCGTGGAAACGCTGCGGTTATACTTGGGATATGAAGGAAATTTACAAGATAAAGTAAGTTATTAATATAAAAAAGATTTGTTTATTAAGTGTTAACATTAATTAATTAATTAATACATTGTAGATACCAGAACTGGCTGGATTTTGGATGTTATCTGTTTTGCTGCAACTGCCACTTCAGTGTTTCCTCTTGTTCAATCCACATTTTCGCCTGAATATACTGGACATAGTCGTGCAATCAACAATGTGCACACTTCTGACGACGCAGGTGATTAGTGGCTACCGAGGACTAACGTACACATCGAAACAACAAGCCATTTATTATCGTATCATAAAACTGCGCAATTCTAATCAAGGTGTACCCGGGCACCAGCCGGCTGGTGAAATAAAACAAGATTAAATTAATGATTGCATGTGCCATTGTGTGCAATGTTTGTTGAAACTAAACTTTATCAGTGTATTGCTTATGTGCAATATGTAAATGAACACGATTGTATACAAATGGTACGCTTAAGCTTCTACAAACTGATTTGTTTATAACCAACTTGTGGATGTAGATTCTTAAATAATTAAAACTCTTCTAGAGAAACAGTAAAAAGATTGGATGGTTTATTATTAAACGCGATCGCTGCATTCGAGACCATGTGCGAGATAGAATTGTATTAAATGATCGATGCATATTTTCAAGTTGATTAAAAACTGCCGCATATGGCTTTTGACCAATTCGTCTTTGCCTTTTTGTGTGAGAGCAAAAACCAGGAATAAATCGTTGCGTGATGGAGCAAACTTTACTACAATCTGAAAGATTCATTTCGATTTCATTTTATTACATCTACTCTGTAGAATTTGTGTCTTACGTTAAAAAGTGTTTGTCCCATCCATCCATGATAAATTTTAAGCGTTCTCTCATAAGCGATTTTCATCCAATCCGATGAATTACCATTTTCATTTGTTAAAATCAAATCAAAATAGTGCCACATAAAGTGTAATCCTCTGAAAGTTCTCAATGAATAACAAAAACAATCAAATATTGTGTTCATGTTGGTTTTTAATGCTGGTTACCATTGGTAACTTGAAAAAGTACCGTTTTCACTCACCTTCGAAGCCATTGTAAAGCATCTGTTACAACAATGGAACTTGTCTTGCTTTCTTCTATGACTAAGTCGTCTAAATATTTAAACTTTTCTTTGTTTTCCAAAAATTTCGTTTCAATCTTCTAACGTTTTAATAATAAATTGATATATTAATAATATACTTAATAAATGTAATAAAAATTTACTTACTGTTATATTTTGATTTAAATCGTATGTTATGGGAGTGAAAACCGTGCCGAACTTTTCTGCAGACAAACAAAAAGAAGCAAATTGCGTTTATTGCTCTTGGCAGCTTTTAAAAGTTAGGTCAAGTGCAGTCAAGTGCACTGATGCACTACACACCTACAAGGAGGCTTACACCTTTCGACGCATCTAGAAACTCTTGCGTATTTATACGTCCATTGTCAACGAATGGAAAAGAACTCATCGCCGTGTTGAAAATCGTGTCATTTTCCGACATTTTTTGTTTAAAAAGTTGAACTAGTTTTATTAGTGTTATTCTATTTCAAAACTAGTTTAAATTTCTTTGTCGATAAATATCAACAATATATTTCTAATACAATAGGCGTGCTTTAAATCTTTAAATTAAACATTTGCACTTAATTTGTTTATAATACTGGTTTGAATTAAAATTTTAAATGAGATGAACTCTTATGGAAATGCGTTTACGTAAAGTTATTAATAAAACAAGTCCGCGTTGGACAACGTCTGAGCGTGAACTATGATCGCGACTACAAGCGCATAGCGCACTTGTATGTATGAAGCGTATGGATCTTGATTATTATTACAGTCATTACAATATTACATTCGCGCTGTATTTTAATACAAAGTGGTGATGGATTTAATCGACTGTAAAAACTTATTACAGTGGAAACTTTTTATAGACTCACTTGTCTGTGCAAATATTGTTAAACTTTTATAACAGAAATATTCAGTATCAAAGAAGAGACATTTAAATCTACAGGAATTGTGTTGCGATTATAAACTTTAAAAAGACCCTATATATTTTATGAGAGAGGTTGTTTGATCGTAGGCAACCAATACAGCTCCTAAAACCACAACAATCAATGTGCGCCAACAACAAAACAATAATAAAGCAACTTTGTGAATGTTGAAGATCTACGAATAAAATAAAAATAAATCTGGCTACTACGTAGATATAAATTAAACGACAATTATTTAAGAATCTATCACTTCAAATGGATAAATATGAAGCATTTGGCTTACTTGGAGAAGGTTCTTTTGGCAGAGTTTATAAAGCTAAAAGAAATGAAGATGGAATCTTTGTAGCACTTAAAGTTATCAGTAAGGTATGTTTTTGTATTTGTTCTACTCATACTTACATTATTTCTTATACTTAAGAGAAAACTACTTGAATTTGTATATATTTTGAGGTTATCAAAGTATACACAACTTTGTTTATTAAAAGGTTAACAATCTATGATAAACAACTTATACTTATCTATATTTCAGAGAGGTAGATCTAATAAAGAACTGACAGGTTTGAGGAGAGAATGCAAGATACAGAGGAATCTACATCATCCAAACATAATTCAAATGTTAGACTCTTTTGAAACTGACAAGGAGGTAAATAATTCAATATAATCACCAATATAAACTTTGTCAACACAGACAATTTTGTGTTTTAGATAGTGGTAATAACAGAATTTGCCCATAAGGAACTCAATTATATTTTGAGTAAGGAAGGATATTTATCAGAAGAAAGAGTGCAGAAAATAGTATGGGACTTAGTTTCAGCCTTATATTATTTGCATTCCAATAGAGTTTTACACAGGTAAAACATTAATGCTTCAATAAATAAATAAATAAGTGTATTAATTCTATTACAGAGATTTAAAACCACAAAATATTTTGTTAGATGCAAATAACACTGCAAAATTGTGTGATTTTGGCTTTGCAAGAAATATGAGTACAGGCACACATGTTCTCACATCTATTAAAGGTGAATACGCATTAGTTATTACGATTATTTTGATTATTATATTATTTTTCATAGGTACACCACTTTATATGGCGCCGGAACTAATCGAAGAACAACCCTATGACCACAATGCTGATTTATGGTCTCTAGGATGTATTATCTACGAACTTCTTGTTGGCGCACCGCCATTTTGCACTGCTTCAATTCTCCATTTAATAAGACTGATAAAACATGAACAAGTGCAATGGCCGACATTTTTATCGGAACATTGCATTTCATTTCTCAAAGGCCTTCTGCAAAAGAATCCTGGTAAACGCATGTCGTGGCAAGAGATTTTAAACCATCCCTTTGTAAAGGGTCATATTATAATCACCGAACTTGCTCCCGCAATGCCATTGACTCGGCCTATGTCGGCGAATACTCTACAAGTGAAAGAACATCAACGAAATCATCACATCAGTCAAAAAATATCTAAACAGTTAGTTACTTGCACTAAAAATTATACAAATGTTTATTTGTTAATTTATTTTATAGAACGAATATTAATACAACAAAAGTACATACTGAAGAAGCTAAAGCTGATCATGACAAACCTACTACTAGTAAGGATAAAACACAAAGTAGTAAAGATAAACCACAAGCTAGTAAAATAAGTAAGAGTGGTGAAACTAAAGTGACACCCACGACTTCCGTGGAAACAAAACGGCAGCATAACGAACTGAATGAAAGAATCTCAAAATTATCTCTGGAAAGGAATAAAAACACTCCGGAATTAACTAAAGCAGAACCTCTAGATTTTCATGAAGACACCCAACCCATAGAAAGTGAAGAATGGGTTGTTTTTATATATAAAACAATGGAGGAGATAATGAATGGTCAAATAGATTGCTTATTGCAACCTGGTAGCACTAATGTGCTTGTAATCCCATTGAGGAATCCACGTGCAAGTCCCAAAGTAGTGGGTTTTGTGGCGAATTTATTTTGTTTACCGTTTGTCGTGACGGGTATAAGTAGTGAGTCCAAGGAACAAATTCTTCAGGTTTATCTGGATGTTAAACTCGTGCCTAATTTGATTTATGCATCGAAGCTCTTGATACGATTAAAAAACGCTAGCCAAGAAAATGTCGACGTATCAGCTGAGATTAAGGAACGAAATGTTGGAGATTTGTCTGAAGAAGAGTTGCAATGCTTGGAGCATATTTATTTACTGATATGTCACTTGATTTATGTGGAAGAGAAGTATGTCAGCCAGTTTTGCGATTCGGTGGTAATTCTGAACATTTATCATCTTATTAATGGATTTTTACATTTAGGTTTGTGTATTACTTTGTTTATATTAACAAAAAAACATTTAATGATTCATTTATACACAGGAAAGAAGAAATTGAAGATTGTAACTGATTTATTAGCTATTTTAACGCATGTGATGCACAAAAATCCTGAAAACTATGAAATTATCGACAAAATCATTCAAACACCACAAGCTGGAGAAGGTTTGGACTTCGTTGGCATGTTGCGTAGCAACGAGGCTCTGTTAAGAGAGAGAATGTGCAATTTTATGCTGCAGGTTGCAAAATTAACGCCTAAAACAATTGAATTGTTTTGGAATCCTCAAATTCGTGATACCCTTGAAGCATTGATGTATGATTCAGTGGAAAACGTACGAAATGTAAGTTAAAAATGTCCCAGAAGTGAATTGATTAATAAATATCATGGGTTTTTGTTTCGTAACATAGGCAGCCGAATTAGCAGTGGACGAATTGAAAGCCCACGAGTTCTACACGAAGAAGTCGCATGAAAGTTGAATTAAATAAAATATACCGACTCAATTTATTGCAAATCATGAACAATTACTTGTCCACAATATAAATATTTGTTGGTTGTGAATCTTTACTTAAGCTTTCTTTATAATTCGCAAATATTTAAGTTTTATTGTGCAAATTTTATTACTTTATTTGCTTACTTTCTAAAGCCTTTTTTAAACATTAACATTCAACTGAATATTAACATACAAACTGTTTCAGCAAACGTAATTTTTACTTACAAACATTTTTTATCAGAAACGAATCAATATACATTTTGAATTACAGAGAAGACTTGGTCTTGATTAAATTTGGAGCTATGAACTGACTTGACCAGTTAAAGCGCAGGCGTGTGCTAAGCTGGCTTATGTTAAGCGTCCTAACCTAACTGGAAAACGTTTGTGGCGCGCGATTGCTGACGTATATGTGCGACTATCAGCGACTTCCCTCTGCCCCGGCATCTGTACGAATTCAGACGAGCACATTCAATTCAAAATCATGGTGAGTGGATTGCACAATTGCGTAATTAGAGGGATTGGCATGCAATCTCCGTTTCAAGTTGTGAACACGCGCGTGGCTCGACTTTAAGAAAAAAAAAAAAAGACACAAGAACGCGTTTGAGTGTCGACGACAATTTTTTAAGTCCAGTCAGCATTTAAAAAAAAATGTTCGTATTTGTATTGCCCCATCATAGAATTTGTACTTGTTTATGGCTTAATTAATGTAAATTAAATTGAATATTTTACGACAATTACCAATCTCACTGATGGAAAATGTTGTAACAATATCTAAACTGGTTAAAATGCGCGCTAAAAATTGAATTTTTAACTCGCGTTCATTGGAAGATGATAATTTATTGCTTATGGTATGTCGACATGAAATGAGTTGCAAAGGAATTTAATTAATTAGTTACAACTTTTGTTTTTGTTTGAACTTAAGACTAACCATAACTTACAAAATTTTAACTTGGTAATTTATTTATATCTTATTCGGTATCGGATGTTCGAGCTTACGAAAAAGTACGTTGACCTATTGAAGAACTTACTGTAAATTAATCATAGTAAACATGAATGTTGTGTATTATAATTAGTTTTTAATGATAGTGCAAAATATCGATCGATTTGTCGCCAGATAAATCATGTTATTACAACATACACACTGAATTAACGATCTAACGGAAATTCTGTAATACAATGTTTAGTCCATGAACAAGTTTAAAGTTTAGAATTTAAATTTGTGGTGTCAACCTAGGCAACCAATGATACACAACTTAGAATTGTTTAATTAGCAAAATTGCGCGTTTTCTGATGAATTATTAGTCAATATCTCAATTAGACAATGAAATTAATACATTTCTATAACATTAATGCTTATATTACAAGATTGACTTCGAATCTATGTAATTTATGGTCCACAATACTCAACAACTCAATTATCTTTCGTAAACTCATCAAGATTTATTGCAAAACTAACAAAAACCTTGAAGGACTCGAGGAAGCATTAAAATAGGAAGCATGTTAAGGACACTGTTAGTAAAACTCCGACTTACTTCAAATTGTACCACAAAATTATCAATTCACGTGCGTTGAACAAAACGCAATGCGATATCACAACGAAATTGTTAACTAATAGCCGCGGTAATTATTACATCATTGTAATTATAGATACATAATAATCTTATTGCAAAAAATATATAAGAAGTTAGAATAGTGCTTTGAAGATTACCTACTCCACTTACGAAAAACATAAGAGAGCAATGTTGAAATTTATTAAGTTTAATTTAAGAATAAAAAAAAACTATGAGTGTTTTATGGTAAATTAAATATTCAAATAATAAATGTTGCAATGTTGCAAATAAATAGAAGGCGCACGAGAGCACCGAGAGCAGTCGCCTTGGTAATTGACATTAATTATAATTGAGGAGAATTGATTAATTGGCTCAGCGAGTTTTGCAAGCGCACAAAGCAACAGAGGCGAATCATAATGTGTCGAACAGCAAAAAAATTACGGCACACCAGTGTTCGCAGGTATCTGAATTAGTCATCCATCAAATTGAACGTTTAAATTGGTATCATATTTCATATTACTTTGCTTTATATCAATTTGTATGTGTTGTTAATAATTATAAGACCGACAGAACGCAAGAAATACTGGTATTTATAAGTTGTCAATGATGATTTTGTGATTCCAATTGTTTCGCGAGTCTAAAAATTAAAATAAATATATTTTATGGAGTAATACCTAAATTTTTTATTGAGATTTATTAAAAAATAGCCCGTGCAGTTAATTATACCGACGCACAGTGATCACGAACGTGTAAATCTCGAACGTAACATTTGGCAATAGGACCTTCGACTCGTAAATCGCAGTTAACGCATAATTAATACCCAATGCCCAATTGTGAGCTGGAGCAGACGTCCACGGGCGCTCCGAAATGAAACACACCTCGAGCCTCGTCGGCCGGGGTCGTTGCGCTATGTAACGGATCACTTTTACTCTCGTAGGTTGATGTTCGGACCGAATGTTGTGTTTGTCCGGTACGCCGCTCGCCGAGAGACACCCGGAGCGGAGCACGCGGCCCCGGAGAGTCCGTGTGCTCGCTAGCGGAAGCCGCGCGCCACAGCGTCGCGGCATCATCGACAAGCCGGACGGACTAGACATGCCGGTCACTGGGACTGGGTCTTTCTTCTTCAGCTTGTGCGCTCTGCTTCGCGTTACCAGCCAGCCTGTTGGCAACAGACGAGATATACGTTTGTGCTCTTTATGTCGTCGCATCAAGAATACAGATGATGATGATGGAGGTAAATTTATTATAATTCATCCTCAGACTGGAAAGATACAGTATTTTGTTCTCAAATGTTTCTAGCTTTACCTGCGTGCACGCAGATTTCGTTTTGTGTCGAAATTGAATTTTGTAACAATTTTTTCTCTTTACATTTAAAACGCATGTTACAAATTGGTAGAATAATGTAATACATGATTATATTCAAAGTGCGCATAAAACTATTAATATTTTCGGCAATTTATGAGAAAAACAGCAACAAATGTGCGGATTTGACAATAAATTAAATTTTGGCAATCTATGGCAATGATGGCAATGTACCAATCAGAATTTTATTGCATGCAATAAACTAGCCATTGAAATTTGAAATTTTTTTTCTTTAAATGTCCCGGAGACATGATGAAATTATTAGCGAGAATTTTATGTGAATTTCGTAGAAACGCATTGGATATATTTATAAACTTATTATTTATGCATTCGGCGACTTGGAGTTTGAGCAATACTTGTTAAATAAGAGTTAATGACCAAATGTCATTAGATGTCAATGACAAATGTGGCAATTCAAATAAAAAGACACAACGATAAAATCTTGAAAAAATGAATAATATGCAAAAAGAAGAAAATATGTCATCAGATAAATTGTCTCGTCTTGTTTCCGTTGATGTGCTGTTCTAGTTATTACTACCATTTCCTTTTTCTTTTTGCGTTCTCATGCGTTTCTCACGAAAATCAACACGCATCTTACATTTATTTGATACACGGATGCTGCTGCGGAGCTCAAACAAAGCCTGTAATTTTGCAAGTTTGTTGTAATTCGACTACTGCTGCCCTACAGCTTTCTTCAGTTTACAGAATTACGCGATGAAATTGTACTCATCAATTTGGGATGTAATTTCAGACCGCACAACGCCGCAGTTTTCGATCAACTTAATGACACACGAAAAGTCCGATGCGTTATTTATTCGGCGAAGCACGTACGTGCTAAATTTATGTTCACGTGAAATTAAATTTTCGTAAAATGTGGTAAATAATAAAGTGTAAAACAATGAACCGGGGAGATTGCCGGCGAGCTCTCGCCACAGATTTCTTTTCGTTTCGGCGTATGCAGATAGAAGATAAAGAGCTGAAGAAAGGAGCTTCCGAAGAGTGTACTCATCCCTTTGGTTGCTTCCACGCGCCAGCAGGACGAACGAAGACGGAAGATGGTCCACTGACCTACTGACTATCCGTAACGCTCTGCGGCATCGCCAGCAAGCGGCTTCGTCGCGGCAGCGCACGCCGAAGCATTGACTCATACCCGAATTGTTTTTTGTTCTTCTTTATCATCATCATCATCGCCGTGCGGCCGACGCGGACGATGTCGTCGTCGAGATCGTCATCTCGTCCGAATTTACGGCTCGTGCGAGCGCGAGCGCGTTTTTTCGATGTCTTCGAAAGCCTTACAACTCCCACTTTTAATTTTGGACAGGCCTGCCAGGGTTCGTTCACCTCGCGTCGCAGTAGCCTTTCTTTGAGATGTCGAGGACCTCTAGAAGGCACATAAACCCGGAGAAATTCTTTGTGTACATGCGTAACACACATCGGCCGGGCGCTCGCCGCGACTCCAAAGCGACAAAAGGTGCGAGCACTGTGTCAGTGAAACGACGCGCCGAAAAAGCACAAAATTATTAATTTTTTTCATTATACAAACGTACTGTAGCATCATTGAATGTTTTTCAATTGACACATTCGAATTCCGACGCATATTAGACCAGTGTGCCAATCTGTTATATCGTAATCATTTCAATCGCATCATCACACACATTGTGCGCGCCTAGTTAATATGCCGGCTTGCGGTCGTTAAGAACATCAATGAAGGTGTGCGCTGAATACACAAGACGCTAATGTTTACGCTCGCGGCGTACGGGAATTCGCAGTAGGCTAGTGTGGATACATTTGTCGTGCAGCGTGCGTTTTGTGGAGTCGATGGCAAAAGCGCTGCTGTTATGCAAGCGAACAACGGAGGCACGACGAATGCAATCGTAAATGTAAATAAACACATTAACGACTGCCATATTTGTCGGCGAAAGACGTTTGCACACATTCTTCTATTCTTTATGTAATGTCCATTTAAGTGTTTTACTAAGATTAGAGTCATTTCATTCTTTTTGCTATTTTTAGTTGGTACCTTGTTTTGAATCTTTGTTATTGATAATATCTTTTTCACAATTGAAGTATTCATGAACAAACCACTTTAAAATTAAAATTCAGTTGTTTTATAAACAAATTTTGAAGTTTAGGACTAAAATTTTAATATAGGCTACCAGTTATAGGTACACGTTCTCATCATAGGTTTTGTTTTGACCCAACCAAACTTGAAAAATTGATTATTTGTGATCTCAACACACAATTATTTAGTTTAATTTGACGTCTGCATACGTTGATAAAATGATGATACATCTCAAAATTCATAAATAAACTGTTTGTTACATTATTCTAAGGATGTTTACAGTTTGAATTTTGAAATTAAATGTTATCTGAATAAATTTTACTTTATAGTAAGTTCCATGAAATAAAATAAATTACAGTGCAGCGTAATACTGTCGAGCGTACTGGTTCGGTTTCGATCCTGCGACTCCACATGTCCACTCGACTCACCTACAAAGCAGTCACCGCTGGCAGGTGCGAGCGCGCGCGCGCGCGCGAAATAGATATAAACAAATAAAAAAAGAAAGGTATT